TCTCCTCTTCGTATGCTGAGAGAGTCGTGGGAAGGTCAGGGTGATGATCCTGTAGTAGTGGAATATGTTTTCTCCTTATTGGATCGTCTAACAAAAGCCCAAGAACTGACCGAGAGTGCGATGACCAAAGCACAGCAGAAGGCTAAGCTTTACTACGATCGGACAGCTAAAGCACGACACTTTGCTGTAGGAGACAGGGTCATGCTGTTGAGGCCCTCCCAAAAGAATAAGCTTGAAGTGCAATGGGTCGGCCCGGCCGAAATTACTCGAAAATTGTCTGACACCAACTATGTGGTAAAATTATCAGGAAGTCGTAAGGCACACCAGGTGTATCATTGCAACTTACTCAAACCCTACAAAGAGAGGGAAGCCATCGTGAACATGACTTTAAATGTTCCGGAAGAGGTTCCGGCAGAAATCCCTGAATTAGCTCCCGAATCGGACGAAGTCCCGATCGAGAAAAGAGTTGAGGATTTAGTATCAAAGTCACAACTGACAACGAAGCAGAAGCAGGAATTGCGTGGTCTTTTGACCGAGTTTCAGGACAGATTTGTAAGCGAGCCAGGCCGGACATCCGTCCTCACTCATGACATAGAGCTTACCTCGTCGGAACCGGTAAGATCTAAGACGTATCGGGTGTCACCTCGCCGGCTTGAGCTAATAAAAGCAGAGGTTAACAGGATGCTGGAATTGGGCGTGATTGAGCCGTGTGAAAATGATTACACTTCCCCGTTAATTCTTGTGGAGGTACCCGGCAAATGCGTAGACTATCGTAAGTTAAACCTCATCACCAAGGATCAGACATACCCAATTGCCCACATTGAGGAACGCGTCGAGAGGGTAAGCAGCGCGCAATTTATCTCAACGCTAGACCTAGTGAGAGGTTACTGGCAGGTGCCGCTCACCGAGAGGGCGAGCCGATATGCTGCATTTATTTCACCATTGGGGACATTCCGCCCTAAAGTGTTGAGTTTCGGCCTAAAGAACGCGCCTTACTGTTTTTCAAACTTAATGGATAAGGTTTTTCGGGGTCAAGAGGACTTCGCATTGCCTTACTTGGACGACGTCGCCATGTTTTCCTCGTCCTGGCCAGAACACTTGGCGCATTTGAGAGCAGTACTGACACGCCTACGCGAAGCAGGTTTAACGGTAAAGGCGCCAAAGTGTCGGCTAGCACAAGCAGAGGTACTCTATCTCGGGCATGTTATCGGTCGAGGGCATCGCCGTCCCTCTGAAATGAAAGTGGCAGCTATCCGAGACTTTCCCCAGCCCCGAACGAAAACCGATATTCGGGCTTTTCTTGGAATAGCTGGTTACTATCGTAAGTACATCCCTAGATATTCCGACATTGCCAGCACTCTTACTGACGCGTTGCGCAAGACCGAGCCCCAAATGGTCGACTGGGATGAGGAGAAAGAAAAGGCTTTCCGCGTTTTGAAAGCGGCCTTGTCGAGCCAACCTTTGCTTAGTTCACCGGACTACTCGAGGCCTTTCATAGTCCAATGCGACGCTAGTGATAGAGGCATGGGGGCAGTTCTTAGTCAAAGGGATGAGGGGGATCAAGAGCATCCCGTCCTCTACGTTAGCCGGAAACTCACCCTTCGCGAGCAGGTTTACAGCGCTAGCGAAAAGGAATGTGCGTGCTTGGTTTGGGCAGTCCAGAAACTGGCTTGTTATATTGCCGGAAGCAAGTTCATTGTGGAAGTGGACCACTGTCCTCTCACCTGGCTACAGACCATGTCCTCTAAGAACGGCCGCCTGCTGCGTTGGAGCCTCGTTTTGCAACAATATACGTTTGAAATACGCTACAAAAAGGGTGTACTCCATGGCAACGCTGATGGCTTAAGTCGATGCCCCTGACGCGAGAGGATGTCTCGAGAACTCTGGCATTTTTTTTTCCCTGACCTAGACAAGAGCTAGTGATTGTTGTTTTTTTTTTACTCTTTAGGTGTACTTGTTTGAAAACGTTGAAGACACGGCTATCCAGGGTTTCGGGTTCGGTGTGCTTCCAGTGTTGTTGTTTTGTGTCACCTTAAAGTGTGAGTAACATTTTGAATAAATTGTGTATTTCCTTTAATATCAGTTAAAGGGGAAAATTGCCTGGTGGAGTTTGGCGGAATTGTCCGGCGCTCACCGGCTTAGTAGTTGTGTTTTCATGTGCGTATGTGATGTCTGTTGAGCCCACAATGAAGCAGGTGTTGCCCTCTACTTCATCAAAGATGGTCGTCACCAAACCGACAGCCGGCGCTGATCTCTCCGGACAGTGGCTGCAAACCTCTGCAAGAAAACGGTCTAAGAAATTTCGTTCAGCCACAGTCCTCCTCCTCCTCCGATGATGATGATAGATATTTTGTTTTAAATAATTGTAGAAAGAACAATTTATAAAGGGATGGAGGGCAAAGGCGGCCGAAAGTGCGATTTTCGAGTTTCATGGCACAATAGTCCAGCATTACTGACAAGTGCTTCCACGAAGTGGTGAGTTCTTACGCGCAGCGGAAATGCCCCCAAACGCGCCTGATCCCTTTACTGCACCACGGCATGCAACTCGAACAATAAATGGTGTTTTCTCCGAACACTGCTTTGCGTCAGAAAAAATTTTTCTCTGTGACCACTGAAGCTATCAAATGCAAACGTTTGCGACTTGTTTCTGAATACCATGCGCCCTTCCTGAAGTAAAGAATATTGTTGTCACCAGAATTGTATTTTTTATGGAAGCTTTTCTTAAGAAAAAGCAATAAAATTCTATTCATCAAACCTTTGCGTTTTTTCAACTAAAGAGTGGTCATGCCTACAAATAATATTTTGGTTCAGGAGAAAACCTTGAACTCATGTATTAACCCGAAGAGATTTCGTCATTTTACGAGCAAATTATTTTTCACAAATGTTCCCTCGAAAACAAAAACAGTCAAATTTATTTGTATTATTTTTCAAACGGCTTCGTATTTTCTTGCCTAGTTCACAAGACATATAGAGAAATTCCCAATCTACCAACTTGCGAAATTTGGTATAGTTTGCTTTAAATATAACAGAACGATGGGCAGTAGTAGTTGCACACCTGTCGGGGCTATCCATTCTCCCTTAATTAAAAGCCTAAATAAAGCAATAATCTAGTTCATACTGATGAATTGCACTCCGAAAATTCTATTGTTGATTTCAGGCTTATTGATAGAATAGAAAATCAGTGTGAGAAGTTTCACTTTGAAATTTTCCGCCAAAATATTTGAAGGTGACCTCACAGATGTCGAAGCGCTTATTTTTTATTTCGGCCATATTGGTTCAACAAAATTTCCCGAAACCTGGTATATAAAGCCTCTGGCTCCGTCAGAAAAGAACTTCTTTTTTTTTACCATTTGTGGGGTCTCAAGTGTGGAGAGCACCACACTCTTTGAGCAAAAGGACACAGCAGACGCGATCGAAATGAACCAAACAACACGCATTCATTAACTACTTTTAGAACAACTATATCGTCAGCCGAATTAATATACATCAATTGTGATCAACACGCATAAATAGCCTTACACAATATTACACAACATTCGCAACGCTTGACTCGCCACGAGGGCCTACGACAGACGACCCCCAAAGCCGTCCACCGCAGACCCACCGCTAGACATAACTGTTCGTGTCAACCGCCACCCGCCAAAGAGACCCGCTCAGAGGACCCGCTCATCTCTCCCGTGCCGCCACCAAGGCTTTCCGCCAGGCGTCACTGCCGGCGCCACCGTTCTAAAGCCCCTTGGTCAAGGGGCTCTACACCATTCTAATCATGCGGATGATGGTGGTGACAAACGCTCGCGAGAACAACGCCACTTACCGCTAGATAGGTGTGACCTCTGGGATGCGGCCTATGCGCGAAACACGTGCGCCCCGAGGCGCAAACTACTTTACGGAGGGTGTTGGCACCCTCACGCAGTTAGGATCTCCGTACAGGTCCTAGAACACGGGTTCTCGGCCACGGATATGTTTTCGGAACCCCTTGTGGACTTGTGTAAGTGCTGACGGGCCTCTTGCGATGAGAAGGGGGGGGGGGGGGGATAACATAACACAGGGTACAGCGTGAAATAGGTACTTTTTATTTTCCTCTGACAAAGAATTGTCGAACTAAAGGGCCTCACCATTGCGATCTCAATACGCAAGTTGTATTTTCTGTAGTCGCGTTTACATATGCTTTCTATTTAAATGTGCAAACCTGGAAAGAGCGTGCTTGCGAGTGCGTGTTGTAGAATACTGCCACAAAGCTTTACAGCCATCACATGTAAAGGGAGAAACCTAGGTCAGCTCTCTGCTCTCTCGCAATGCGAATGAAGAACGCCAAATATCGGTAGGGGTTGTTGTCACGAAACATGGCGAACGTAAAAAGAAAAAAAAAGAATAAAGAAAGAAAGAAAAAAATGCTTCTTTGCTTTCGAGGGTGGGCTTCGCGGATGCCCAATAATGTGTTTGCGCACCCTAATTTGAGAACCACCATATCCTAGCAAATAAAGTCAAGATCTACTAAGCCACAACTGGTGCGCGAATGACAGAGTGACGTAGCCACCCGCATCTTCTTTTTGCGCGTTTTCTCACTTGCCAAACGTATTCACGCATCAAGCGTGGTGCTGTCGGTATCGTGAATAAGTAATGTACAGTATGCTCCACTATTAAAGGGAACACTTGGATGCACACCATCAGTAATCCTGGCCCTTTAAGGGCAATTGTATTAATAAAAAGTCTTCATGCAAGTCAATAGTCGGTCGAGAGGAGTCGGAACTTTCAACCACCAGTAGCCTTATGCATATTTAAGCCGCTATGATTCCGTAAGATAGCGAAATCTAAACATGCTGCTCACGCAGGTCTTCCCTTTAACAGTGGACCAGTCTGTACCCATACGAGAAAAATATTTGCCTCGTTGGTGTTCCCAGCTTGCCAGTGGAATGCACAATTTGTGTGTATGTCTGTGTTTTAGCGGGCACTGAGGGAGGGGGGTACCTGCCGAATCAATCGGATATGTCTTCGCGCAGGTACACACGTGCGCCGAGCTATTTCGCGAGTGGAAGCACACTCGGCCTGGCTACAAGCACGTCAACGAGGACGGCATCAGCGTTCCCCTCACCTACATCCACACGGGGCTGGACCGGCAGGCGGCGGCCGGCGAGCCCGTCGTGTTCGCCCTTCACGGGGCGCCCGGCACGTACCGAGAGTTCGACTCCCTGGTGCCCGTGCTCGACGCACAGGGCGCGTCGGTCATCGTGCCCACATTGCCAGGTACGGCGACTACGTCTCGATGGAGCTTAGTAAAGTCCCTAGCAGGGAAAATCTAGGGACCTTAGGGCTTAGCTTTACCAACACCACCTAGACTTCTTTGGTGTCGCTTTTGGTTTCGTTTTTGACATCGGCTTTACCAGAGTTGCACAGCCATTCTAACTTCGAATAAGACTTGTCTCTGGGGAAGTTGGTCGACATCGAAAGCGTACATGTTAGCGCAAACAAGCAGAGACTCGACGAAGTTTGATGACCGCAGCCTTAGCCTAGTGGTAGTGTCCGCTTCGGCTGCGGGAGGTCGTGGGTTCAAATCCACGTGCCGCCGGATACCCACCGGTATTACAAATGGGCACAGGCGTCCCCCGGCCTGACACTCGGCTTCTTTCAGGGGTGACACGTCTGGGAAAGGCAGCCTGCGCCATTCAAATCCCGTCAAAACATGTGAGCACGATGAGTTGAGGTAAGACTCGCTCGGTAAATCAAGAAAATGTGCCGCGCCAAGTCGCAGCTATTTCAGAAAGCAGAAAATTTATCGTAACCTCAGCTGTACCTTACTTAGGATGTGAACTGCACGTGCTTACCGCCAAGTGCAACTGACTTCACTTGTTAGAGATGCCATATCCCCCTCCCCATATTTAGTACATAATGTAGGTGTTCATATATATACCGGCCGAAGTATCCACACTTTCTCTCGCTCTCTTCACTCATTCATTGACGAGAGGGGCGCAAGGTCTTCATTTACAATGCACTCGATCAAGCGTACGGACGGTGTTGCCATAGCGGTTCGCTCCTGCCTCTTTCCAGACTTGAATTTCACCATGAAAACGCAGAGCTTCTGGCACTCGGTGGAAGAGCGGACGGATCTCCTCAAAAAGTTCCTCAAGGCCATCAACGTACGAGAGTAAGCACGGGCAAATGACGCTTTTTACTGAATGCGAGTCTAATGCAGAAGGTGTGTAATAACTTTTATTGCAACTTCGTTTACCTATGTGTGACTTCAGATGGAACGTTTCCATATCAGCACGCCTTGGGCACTTACATCCAAGGGTTTTAGCAAGCTCTAAATACTCCCCCATTCCTTTCGCCAGTGTAGGGTAGCGTCCTCCTAGACTGGTTAGCATCCCCGCCATTCCTCCTTTCTCTCCTGTTCCTTACTTCCTATGGCATAAAAAAAAAGGGTGTACTTAACATGAGCGTCCACCGATTTTTTTTTTTTTGGGGGGGGGGGGGTAGGAACTGTGTTGCATCATGGCTGAAAGAGGGCAGGGGGTAGGCATGTAGTAGGTAGTAATATGTGAACTCATATTCGCTCTTTAAAGCTGTCCTGCACAATAAAGCAGCGGGCAGGCTGTTTCAGAAATGTCAAGAATTGGCTTTTGCATTAGCACGCACATGCGCAGAACGCGAGGCACGGTCATGACGGCCTTTTTGTAAGTGGAATCGACGTTGATTTAAAATTTGGCCTCCAGAACTTTTAACAATCTTATATTTCTTGGTTCGCGCATCGGTGAGTGTAAGCTTTACAAGCTTGCCCTCCATCTCTCTCACTTTCAGAATCGACATGATGGTCGCACACAGTAGCTCCATGTATCCCATGCTCCATTTGGCGTTACGAGATCCGGAAATCAATATCAAGTCTCTAGTGTTCATCGCCCCTTCCGGCTGCAGGAGGATCACGTAAGTCCCGCTTCTTACCAAGCTTTATCTGTAGCCAGAGCCAATCACTGCACGTTGTTCGGCTATGCGGTACGCTTTCCGTGACACGTATGACGTCTATAAGTAAGAGCTCATTTCATTTACCGGGGGATTGAAGTTTTCCGGCAACACTATAAAGGAACGGCTTTGAACATGCCAGTTTAGCTGTTACTGGCTGTTACAACGACTGTATGTATTCTGCGTGGCACGTCATAAAGTAAATTAGCCAAAAATCCGCTGCGTACACAGATGTCCTTTTGGACCATGTCTTTCTCGTTACAAAAAATGATCGATTGGTCCCGGTCGTGGCTGGACGATACGAACAGAAGGCTGATGTGCACACGACAGCGTGTGCTCGATATTCTTTTTCCTTCAGTACCAGTCTAACGACGAATGTCAGACGTCTGGTCATATGAAGTTCCATTTAGCAATCTTAGGAGCTATAGTTGTCATTTTAATTATTTGTGGTAGTTAACACGGTGCATATAACTGCACTATTGGACTTGTCGGAACTGCAGGGTGTACCATTCGCAGATAATTAAGCCGAAAGTATCATCCCCGATCATCATCCTTTGGCGATTAAATCTTCTGCAAGAAGAATTAATACATTTGTGCGATTTTCGTTTTAACGGCAGAATTCCCAATTATGCGCGAAGGTATCGTTATCTTGTCGCAATCTTACCTTAACCCAACTTGTGGCAATGTTCTGTTGTTCTTTTTTGTGTTTTTTTTGCTGCTCCGCCGCATCATCATATCTTTTTCCCCTAAGAAACAGTAGTCTAATTTTTTTTTCATACAGGTGGCGCTAATTTATGTGCACGTCAGAGCTGTATTTGTTCGTAGTGATAGACGTGCATCACGTGGTGTCCTCTACAAGCTATCTTTGGCAGGCCTCTTCATATGATGTTGTGGAATTGCGGCGTTAATAATTCTGGAATCTTTGGCGGTCGCTGGTCTTCATTGGTGCAATGCTGCACAACAGGCGCTGTTTCCTGATAACGCTTACTATAGGTCAGCCTAAAAAAGCTTATTATCGACACGATTGTGTTGTGTCGCTTGCGGCATCCTCGGTTCCAGAAAGTCTGAACAAACAAAGCGCAGTGTTATCAATGCTGAGTGACAGTGATGTGTGGGGCGTAGGAATTCCATACCACACTGCCAAATCCTATAAAGAGCTCAGACAATCGAATTACTGTATATATTTCCTACAAAATATACTTAGCGAAAGTGAGTTATTGGGCTAGTTGGTTTCGCATGAACAAAAAACTGTGCTACAGATACTGCATGGGGGAAGGGATATTAAGTGAAAAAAAATAGAAAAGTGAGCCCCGTAACTGTCTCTCAGGGGGAGGACACCTCAACAGTAGCTCACGAGGGATGGGGGTAAGGATGGATTAAAATGATAGGATGAAAAGGTAAAGAGATAGAGAGAGAGGAAGGAGAGAGTGAGGTGGAGGGACAGCGAACGACGGAAGTAAGGAGAAGGCAGGAAAGATGGACACGGTTGCAGGAGTCCGAGGACGGGCCACCACTGGCGAGAGCTCTTGTCGGCGTCACGAGATAGCGTAGTTGGCAAGTCCAGTAGGCCAGAGCTACGCAGATACTGCATGGAACAAAAGAAGTTATGGAACACACGTGTTTCAAGGGTCGCGTACACTTCGTAACGTGCGTTTTTTCCCTAAATTACTTTGTCCCAGTAACTGTAGCGCCGTTTCATATAATGATACACTTAGCAACTCGTAAATCCAAATTTTACAAAACGAACTGGGAGTTGAGTGTATTCAATTCCGAGTTGTTGCTGTGATCTCGTAGCAGCTTTCGTTGCCTACGCCAGAAACTTTGGGAACTTATGGGAGCGGCAGCCACTAGAGTGCATGCCGATGGGGGGTAGAAGAGGAAGACGACGATCGCTGGTGCGCTTGTGGCATGCGGCGGCCGCTGGCACGGTGCAGTTGCGGCCGAGGTTTAGTTGAGGGCTTAGAGGAATAAACAAGGTTCCTGATCTGGTTCCACGTGTTCCCTTCGGGGTTCTGGGCCGAGCAACCTCGAAACCCCTGCACACTGTAGTGTATAGTAATTACGGCATTACGCGCCTCAGTTCACTGGCACAGCCAGAGGAAGGGAGAAGGAACCTCTCCTCCTCACCTCCTTCCAGTTTCGCCGATATTGCCTGCGTCGTTTGCTCGAAGCGGTACGTGAAGTTTAGTAATTCTTTGCGCCACAGCGCGGAAAGTATGTACTAGTGCCAAGTCCTTCGGCGTTTAACACGGCGGCAATTAGTCTCCCCAGTCGTATGCAGCTCGGCGAACTGCACTTCATCCGCGCATACTTTCCTCGTGCTTAGTCAAAGTTTTCCGAACGCGGAAATATATTAGACGCCGACGTGCTTCTCGGTTTCGCACGATTCTCGGCAAGGTCGGGAACGCGCACGGCGGATGACTTTGCGCATTGGCGTACACATATTGTGCTTATGCCGTATGTATGCATAGGAAAAAGAGCCAAGAATCCACAGCACGTGGTGTTATCGCTTCAAGATCGTATTTCACTAATCCAGTTCTGTGTTTCCTCTTCCCGGGTCTGTTGATAATTAGTGTGCAGTACGCCGGCGTAGAGGTTTTGCGATAATAAAGGGCACGCTTTGTCGAAACCGAGAGGCAAGGCGTGAGCTCTTTACTATTCACCCGCGTGGTCCTCGCTCCCTTCCATTCTTCCTTTCTCCGTGTGCCGCCCGCCGCCCTGATGCGACGCTGTACTTGATCAAGATTAGGAAATGTAACCGCGCACTAGAACACGCAGGACACTGAGATAACACTCGTTCTGTGTCCCGCGTGTGTTTTGGTGGTTACTTTTCGTAATGATGAATCACCTAACGGCCTACACCAACCTTTTATAAGTCTTATACAAGTGTGTCAACGCTCCACCTGGCAGACTGGAACTACATATATTGCTCACGTATATAGTACAATACAAGCCGTCGCAACACACGCACAAAAAATAATTTAGAAAAATATACATAACAATGGCGATATTGTCACGTGGCCGCGACGGGGAAGAATGTGCTAACAGGACTCGAAAACACGGAAATTTTCTTGCGATAACCTTTAAACGTTCATCCATCCGTCCGTCAAGCCCTGACATGCAGCCAGCTGTGGCTTCTTTTATTATGCTACTCCCGGAAAATATGCCTAAGTGATGCGTGAGTTCAGCCGCACAATTTGCAAGTATCGTTTGGATAGACGTCTGGACATATCCTTCTAAAATGAGTGGGGTTGGGGAGGGTCTCGGTTTGCGATTTTCTCCGATCTACCTCTGCGGATCTGCTGAGTTTAGGGCTTGGCGATGTATAAATACGCCTAAATTTGTTTTTTTTATAAATGTTCGTGATTTCGCATTATCGGGTCATTCTATTCCTCTCTGTCCAGCCCTCCGCTGGATGTCCACCCCCCGAAGAGGACCTTTCTACGCGGGCGCGAAGCGTGAGACTTCGCGCTACGGGATGGGCCTGCCCATTGAAGTTGGGCACGGGGGTGTGGGGGACGCGTGAGCCAAAAACCATAGATATATATATATATATATATATATATATATATATATATATATATATATATATATATATATATATATATATATATATATATGTGTGTTGTTCTTCCGTCTCTTCAGAGGTTCAAGAGTTTGCGTTCGCGTTGAGGATAGCCGCGGCCTCTGGCGAAATTCTGCCGCATAATTTCTGACCGCTGTCTGCGAATATCAGATAGGGTATATCAGCTATTGGGGCTAACTATGGCTAGGACTATTGCCAACTCTTCTGCTACATCAGCGTTTCTGCTGTGTGCACTACTGCACTACATGAGCTGACCAACTGTTTGTCAGTATTGAGGACTATTGCTGTGAAGGCACGTCGATCCGCCTGTTCTGCCGCGTACTACGAACAGAACTTCCTTGTCCCTACCAAAAGCTTGTAATGAAGACCTGACTCTACTCTGTCTTCGACCCTGATTTAGTCCGGGTGTATGTTCTTGGGTATTTTAGCCACACGGAGCTTTTCTCCGACCGCGCTGGGGAGGGATTTCTTATCGCCGTGCTGCTTGTGATAGGCTATCTCAAGCTTGTCCAGAATGCTCGTGTTTGTTCATGTCCTGGTTAATCTTTCTAGTAGCAAGATTTGTTCATGTATGCATGCATTATCTGACAATGTCATCGTGGCATATATTTACCGAAATAATTTCAATCAATGAATCAGTCACACATGAAGTAATGAGTGATTATTAATTCGTGTAGGAAGCCAATACCATGTTCATTACATCGTCTATCATAGAGAGAGTCGCTTTGGAAGGTTAGCTCAATAAATCAGTCAACAACACCTTTGATTTCCATAGTTTGGTTAAGCTTATTCGGTGTGCAATAATTTCGACTCAATATGAAGATGCCAATGGCTCGCAGAAGCAATATAAGTGTAAATATTGCTGGCTAATTGTAGTTTCCTTGTTTTTGTAACTATACTAACAAGGTTCTGATTGAAAGCTCATTAGCTTCACAGTTACTGTATACCCGCACTTACTTCACAGTTTGTAAGAACATATTTTCTTTAGGTGTGGTTGAATAGCCCTACCGAATTCGCCCTGCTCTAAAACGCAATGACTATTTCTACAGCCCTGCATCTTCAAGAGAATCTGCTTTTATGGGTATTAACACCGGTTTGTCCAATTTCGTGAAATGGAGCAAGTTAAGAGGCATTGCACATCATAAATTTTGTGGTGATTGAATGATTGCATGGGACAATTAAAGATCATAACACTTTTGATGTGTCGAAACGGCCGAACGCACCTTCTTTTACATTGTCGATAGTTCAGCCAACCCTCAAAATCTTAATCTGTCGCCTCGTACCTGCACCACATGTTAGAAAGAAATGAAATAAAATGTTGTGTTTCTTGCACGAATGTACGCATCGCCCGCGGGTACATATAAAGCTGCAGAAGCTGCATGTTCCGATTTTCCAAGGGGCCTTGAACTGGTTATCTAACATACTCTTTTTTTCACAGAAGTGTGTCGGAGTGGGTGACTCTGCCACCACTCGCATTGTGTGTCCATAACTGTCAGTCAACAGACCGTTTCATTCTGCCGCCTATCCCGCTTTTACATGTGTTTGCAGGCAGCTGAGTCCGTACTGGATGATGAAGAGCTTCGACGAGTGGTTCCGGGTTCCTTGGCTGCAGGAGTTTATGTGCTGGCTTGCAGTGTACATTGTGCGGCTGCTGGGCAAACCCAACAACAACCAGATGAAGGGCACCATTCTGTCCATGATCACCGTTAGGAATTCCAAATACGACGAGGTACGGGTGTTTAGCTTGCGTCGTCTCCGTTAAACGAATAATATACCGCGATGCAAGTCAGACAATAGACCGTTGTTCCCTGAATGCAGGAGAACGATTATTCACGAGTTGCATAGAGGCGACGTTTCATCAATGCACACAAGAGGCATGCACGTGATGCGCACAGTGCTTAGCGAGGCAATGTCTGATTGGAAGACTCTTTGTTTTCCTTGTTGACTGATGTGAAAATAAACAAACGCGCGGTACTCTAGAGACGGGCGCTATCCTCAAAATTAGGCTGTCGTGCCTCTATTAACAAAGAAAAAAAAAAGAATGATACATTCAAAAACACTATATACTTTTGAATTCAATGAACTCCAGAAGTTGTCCTGCCTTTTCTCATCTAGAGTGATGGCTTTTGCAGCACATATGATTTTGTACCTACAACCTAATCAAAAATGAAAACATAGCGTTCAAAATGCACTGCGACACCCCACTGTGATAGCTAGAAGTTCGGTGACCAAAGGCATTCGTCTTTGCGTTGTATTACGGTCTCGTCAAATAGTTAGGGCACCGATAACTATCAATGACAACTGCGTGACTTCAACAGCTTGCGTAGAAATTTCGTTTTAATTTTTTATTGTCAACTAGCTGAAGAAGTATTTCATGAGTACAGTGCGCCTTCCTTTTTAAAGGCGCTATTGTAGACTTGAAAGATTACGTGCAGACATGTGTATTCATCAGCAATGCATATGTAGCCTTATTACGCAATTCATTAATGTGGTAATAACTATATAAAAAGCTACAGACAAACTTTTGCTGTTGCCGTTCTGCTGCAGAATTCAATAGCAACAAATGAAGGTAGCGCTTGAATGTGCCTTTTCTTGTCGCTGTGTTGTCTTGAATGTGTCTTTTTTTGTCCGTGTCCTTTGTCTGCGCTACCATATATTATCATGTAGCGCTAGCTGTTGTCATTCATGTCAGTTCACACGACCAAGCGCCGCCACGTGAGGTGGGCGGAGTTTCGGCTGAGTGCGTGCTCAGCCGAAAGATGGCGCTTGCCCTCAGCCGCGCGTGCGCCATCTGCGTTTCATTTACAACGCATAACACTAGCCGTGCTCCCAACTATGGCTGCAGGAGTGCGTCTTTTCCTTTCCTCAAACTCTCTCCTTCCTCCTTACATCGCCACTTAAAGTGCATAGTCTTACCACGCGACATGTGTTAGACGGAGGCCGCATAATTTTAAGTTTTGAAAGAGAGACAGCTCGAGAATCACTGTACATGCAACCTAAGTATATACAGTAACTCGAGCTCAAAACGCCTTTAGACAGGCGCTCAGACATCGCGTTCGCGATGTTCGAGTGATATGGGTTCCATGCCTGCCTCGCAGTGCTTGTTAATTTGATAACAGGAAGTGTACGTTTTTGCAATATATACGCTTTATAAAAATATGAACCTCTTCATATTGTTATTTAATAATGTTCTATCAATATTATTGTCTCAATCGTTTTTCGAGTGAAACAGATTCAGTAACCACGTGTACAAAATGTAAAATAAACTTCAGTTGTAGAGAATTTTAGAGAAAAACTGAAATAAGGTAGGAGTTCAGGGGAAGAATAAATCCTGAAGAGACGTACAATTCTTGGAACTTTCATAAATTGAAAGATGAAGAAACTTGTGTGCAAAAGCGGCTGTATACTGTGTCGTGCAGATCTTCACAAGTGCTTCTCGTGTCAGTAGAATTACAGTAGAGTTACTTGCGTATTCGAGAGAGCCATATATTATTGACTCGGGTGAATCGCTTAACTGTACAGGCGGGGCCCATGGTGTGCGAGCTGAAACGTCGTGGAGTGCCAATGCTGATGTTCTATGGCGAGCGAGACAAGCTCATCGATTCAGCGGTGAGTGAAGAGATGGCCGCCATGCTGGGCGTGCAGCTGGATTCCGTGCACGTCTACAATGGCAGAGATGACAAAACCGCTGTCCTATTGCAGTCTGGTAAGTGTAAACTTTGATATCTAACAGTTCTGGTGAAAGTTTTGCTAGTGGACATCAATCACAGCTTCTCTGCACAGTTGTGAGTAGACTGGCCACAGGAGAATCAAAACCTGGGCAGGCGGGTACCGTGAGGACCAAAAGCAAACAAATGAGCGATGAACAAATACAAGCAATGGTATTTGTCTTTTCTTATCATTCACTCGCCTATTGACACTTCATCCTCAATAAATGACAAATTAGACCAGTAAACTTGTCTTTTCTGCATCCATAATTTTCCTCTTCAGCTGCTGCTGATAGTTGCAGGCTAACATGTCAGTGCAACGTGGAGTATCTTACTCTGGAAATAACCTGCTGAGCTAGTACAACTCCCGGAAGAAATCAGAAGGTGAACAAGTGAAAAAGAATGCTGAGGAGAGGAGACTTGGTTGGCACTAGCCAAACTGGCTGAACAAAAAATATGCTTAGAAGAAGTTGATCGAGAGAAAGCCAGAGCTGAGCAGACATGCTTTGTTAGCGCGGATGAACAACTAACACGGTGGTACGGTACTCTACGGACAAAAAAAGTTTTGATCAGTGCATGCTGAACATTCAGATATGTGCTGCCTGCCCTGTGCTTCTTTCATGAAAAAAAAAAATAATAAAAATGCCCCCACCTCCTAGAAGGGAATCGTGAGGACATGCGAATGCATTGCATAGCGTCTGCTATAACCGCGTTTCGCACGTGAGAACGCAGCGTTACAAGAATGTTTCCTTCTTTTTTCCTTACACCGTGCAGCCAATGCACCGTTCGCCGCACCGATTTTTCTGTTGCGAGGACTGCGGTTTTCATTTCCAGCTCTAGTAGCTAGCGTGCACCGTTAAGAAATAAACAAAACAAATAACATTCTTGGATCGGCATTGGTGTTTCACAGCAGCGTCTCGAGCACACATTTCCGGACGTTCTTGAGAGTCGCCCAGCCAGCGAACGGTCGAGAGTGAGGCACGCGCTTCACTTCATCGGACGGGAGAGTGGGGCACAGGGAGGAGAGAGAGCGAACAGGCGAGAGAAGTAGCGGCAAAACACTGCACCTGCCATTGTACCTCATGGCCATAATGTCAGCGTCTCATCGACACAAACGCTACACAAACCCTGGCAGCACAAACGCTATAAACTCGTTTCAAATGCTCTGCATTGAGGCGGCGGCAAGTCATGTTGAAGTCATGAGGCGGGAGCTTCGGTCACTAGGGGCGAGGATAAGCGCGCGTGCCCGCAGCTGTTGCTGACAGCTGCCGACGCCGAAGCGTGACAAGGTGGAAGCTCCAGTTGCTAGAGACGCACGCGTCCGCAAGCTGTTGCTATGAGAGAGGGCGGGGGACAAATCCCGACGGACGCCTGACCTAGTTCGATTAAAAGAAATCATTTGCACTTAAAAAATTCGAGCCACACACAGAGCCTTCCCAGACGATTTCAGGTGCGAGGTAAGAAGATAGAAGATTAGGCTTCATCTTCTCCGGCTTGTACTAACACATTTCTTACAGCAAACTTAGATGTATATAAAATGCTTCAGTCTAAATTGACTTGTTCTTTGAAAGTGCGTACATAAATTCAGAAAAATGCTGGAGTGAGAATAATGCTTGTGTTGTCTCTGATACTATGATTTTACTTTGTCAAGTACTTTAAAAGTTATGAGGCTGTACTTGAAACATACTCTGTCATCCTTGTATGACCAGCCCCTACAAATAACCCACACTATTAACTTTCACTATACAAAAAGAATAAAAGAATATATGGATAAAATCCTCACACATTACCCACAACTCACTTTTTAAGCACATTTATTTAGCTCTTTGGTGTGGATTATAAGAAAATGTATATTTTCTGTCCAGATAGTTGTAGGTCATTTATTTGGTCTGTGTTGTATGTTTCATGTCCCATGTTTGTTCCTGTTTCCAGGCAAACCTGATGGAAACTGTGAAGTTGTCTGCTTCAAGCAAGGAACGCACTTTGCATTCAAGAAGTACCCAAATATATTTAACGATTTTATACTTCAGTTCTGGAATAGGAACGAACGCACCTGCACTTGATTTTGTGTGGCAGATTATGATGTATGACATTCTTTTTTTTTATTATTATTATAGTGCACTCCTCACGGTGCTTTCAGGTCTGCCAGACATTATTGCAAATGTTTTTGTGAGAACATTTATTTTTGTGCAATTGATTTTAAACCCAATTTATTTGTACAAATGTACAACATAGTTCCGTTTAAGTGATCCAGTTTCTGGGAAAACCGTCATCTATGCACTAGCTCCATATTAACAGGTCACGTTCGTATTCCGCCCCAGCACCAAAAAGTGGCGCAGTCAGGAATTTTTAGCACGTGATTGTTGATACAATTTGAGTTTCTGCAAGATTGTGCCTATGGTAGCTCAAAAGTCTTTCAAGAATTTTGCTTGCAGTTGGGAACTGTCGAGAAAGCACCAATGAAATAAAAAAGAAATCTTGGTTAACACTAGTGTCACTTAATAAGATGCCGCTTGGCAACCCAAATATTTATGAAGTTGAAACCTCTCATGATGATGTATCCTCTTCTGCAGTCATAGTGTATATTGGCAGAGCAGAAAAACACTGCAGTCATCGCTCATTTGCTGATGTGTGCAACGATCATGGACAGCATCATTTCCTTTTTTACAGACAACTGGCAGTGATCATGCCTAGAATACATGGTTAAAAATGGAAGGATCAGTACTCACTGATGCTCTTACTGGGTCATTCACTAATTGAATGCCACCCCGAAGTGATAACACAATGCCCATGTTGACAGTGGATGCCATCTAAGACAAGCATTAAAAGCTAGCCTCTGTTGTAAGGCAATGCCTATATATTGTTATTGACCACTACAAATAAATGAATCTGTTTTACTTGGCTGTCATAATTTCTGGATGGATCAATGAATGTAATGTCAAAAACACTGCTTCAATGAAACACATGTACACACGCACATACTCAATGCGCCTCACGTAGGCACTACACAGCTTGCTACGAAACTTCTGGAGTGAAGGTAGGGTTGCCATCTTACCACTAAAAAAAGAAATGCTGCTCTTGGGAAGGGGTGGGGGAGGAGGTACTTCTATTGGTAGTGTAATTTATGTTGAAAAACACCATGTTCAGATGTTTGCCACACAATGTCATGTATTTTAACATAGCTTGCCTGGTCTGAAATCAACATATGTGTATGTACAAAAAAAATTAGGGGACCCTTAAGCTTTGCCTTTAGGAGTTGAGCGCGATAGCAACATTCTGTTCCTAGTGTCTACTTCAAACACTTAGTGCATGAAACCTTTTCGAATTCACTATGCGCCCACTGCATGGCCTCGAGGGAATAGGCCCAGTAGCGTGCGTGCCTGTTGTAGTGCAGTACTCTCTTTCAACCACGGAGCCAATATGATAATTGCATATTCTGACGCCCATTGGAAGCGACGCATGTACCACGCATTATAACTGCAGTATTTTATGTTGCATTGTGAAGCATATATACAGGAAGCGTTTGCTTGGGAAGCATGAAAACTTTCTCTGTATTTCCAAGCAGAGGAAGCTTTTTTTAACTGTTTTCACAAGCAGAGGCATGGCCGTGTGGTAGAACATCTGCTTGCCACGCAGATGTTCACAGAAACAACCAGAGTTTGATCTCCTCTTGGACCCAAACAACCTTGGTTCAGTCCACTGTGCTCCAGGATTTTTTATCATATTTTATTTTTGTTGTTCTCAATTTTTCACGCGATGATTTTTCACTCACAACCGACGACGCCAACACAGACCATGACATTTCTGCCAAATGAGCTCTTTAATGCTATCGCATTAATAATGTTCTGTTCTGGTCCGACAGGCACATGCTCAGTCTCATTGCATTCATGCACTGAAAAAACAATGAGGTTGCTTGGATTTGATTTAGGCCCTAGAGAATCTGCGCAGTGTATGCACGATTGTGGAAAAAAGTTTGGGGATCAATCGATGCTGCGAAGAATTTATTTATCTCCGTAGCCTGAGAAAGGCAAGAACATTCTCAGGCTGGTCCAGGGATCCAGCATAAATGCACGTTTGACCAATGCGCTGCTCTCAATTCTTTACTAGCCTGTGCTAGAGTAAACTTGCATTTTTTACTGGTGCCTCAGCTTGCAATTGTATGTGTTGCATTTAAGAAATTGCTAATTTTGTGGCATTCCCACACGACTGTGCAGCCTTATGGCATTCAAGCAGCACAATGCACCAGCGGGAAGCCGAAAGCATTCCCAGAAACTGAACCCACTCCAGGGATGAATGTGGCAGTCACTATAAACTCCCCGAACCATACTTCAAAAGGTTTGGAAAATTTAAATTGACTTTTATGTGGATTCAGGGTCTATTTGTGGAACACTTTCGATCAATGTGTCCCACAGATAGATCCGAAATTCCCGTCACTGCATTAAAGAGCTTTGCGAAATCACGCCGTTTCGCCATCATAACCCAAGCCATAAGTCGTGTTGGGCCTTTCCATAAACCTTTCGTGCACAGACGTATGAAGCTTTCGCTGCATAGCCATAGCAAGATTTAACACAGTATGGTGTGGAATTCTGTTCCTTGCTTTTCAACTGCACTGGTGTCGATTACCACAGGCGACAAAGACGAATGCTGCAAGTTAAAAACAATCGATCGGTGAAGAGCTGCCCTGATGCAACTGCTGGCATTCGCATGGTTCAAAATTCCTGTATAACGAGCAGTGAACAAGCTTTTTGATGCTCAAACAGGACACATTGTGGACAGGGTTCAATAGACATTCCTTTATTTTGTAACAACTAGTACAGAGAACCTGTTGACACGGTTTCCACAATGAAAACAGACAAGGAGGTGAGCAAAAAGTATTGTGCCACATTCCCAGTAGAATTATTCTGGCAGTGATAATGTTTTTGGGGGGTGTGCCACTGTAAATGTTTCCTCACTGGTGCCTACTCACCGGATGGGGAGGGGGGGTGTAGAACGAGCAGACGAAATAAAAAACAAAAGCTTGCAGTGCACTGCACAGACGTGAAAGATGTGGCAGCCTTCCACATTCGATAAAAAAAAAGCCCCACCTGCCAGTAACTTGCATAACTGCCGCTGGCCAAAAAAGACGAGATATGACTCGGCTCCACTAAAGCAACATGATGAAACCACCGCGCCATTTGTCAACCGATGGCTGCCTACACCAAGAATGCTGCACTGAAAAATTGGCGCAAGCTCACGGTACACAGACCAAGGAAGTTCTACGTACAATGTATTTTACAGACCACAAGAAGCTTTCTGACGTACAGGAATGTGAGCATGATCACCAGCTGGGACTTGTCCTCTTGGTCGAGAAAAACTAAGTAAAACAGTGGTGCTGCAGCATAGTACCACAGCTGTTGGCCTGACAAAAGAGAGAGACAAGGCACGAGCTCAGCATGAAGACCATGCTCAGTGCCTGGATGGCGCATGCTGCCTGACCTGTTATTATAGCCCAGCCACATCACGGATGATTAGAGATTTAGGACAAGCTGCCCTGTCCAAGCCTTAATGTCCCCTTGCCTTCTTGATATTTATTGAACAGGTGGTGAAATCACAAAACAATTACAATTTACAATCTACATTTTAAAAGCAATGTCTGTGTAAGAATCATTTCCAGCACAATCGCAGCACTCGCAAGCTCCGTACAGTGACAAATAGATTGCAAAGAGTTTACCGTATCAGGTAAACTCTGAAAATCTGTTGTCCCTTAACTGTGTTGATCAAATATAAAATTTTGAAAAGTTTCTCTCCTTAAAATGCTTACTTCTTTAAAGGGTTCCATTGAATATTTTTATACTGCTCTAAATGTTTTTGTCCTAAAGAAAACTAGATCGTATACAAAATCAAATTAGATTATTAAACTTTATTGTGAACTGCTTACGAAGAAAAGGCTACCTACTTGCTTACTATTGACAATAAAAAACAAGAATGCCAGCAGAAAATTTTAGCATTCTGAGAATGGCTTTCTCATCTTAATGAAAATCTTTTCAGTCAAACGAACATGCCATACTAGCCCCAAATAGTTTGGGACAGGGAAGCGGTTAATGTCTACATAATCTAATTTCTACGAAACTCTAGCTGATATGCAGGCCATAGATGAAATGGTTGAGCCTTGTATTAAGGAACCACTTGTGCATCAGCCAAGCACTGAGCATGCATCCATTTCCACTGCTCCATTATGGCATCTCTTTACCATTCCAGTACCGAGCACGTTTTGTACAGCCGATCACTTTTGTACCAAGCTGCCCGGAAGAAATTCTAAATGCCTTGCATCTGCGCAGATATCACCTGAGCTGTGCTTGGTCGTCTTCTCAAAAACTAAGAAATAAAACTATGGGACAAGTGGGTGGGAAAAGAAAAGCCCTAAACTACACACAGAACAACAAGTACACTTGCGACGGTTACGAGACATGCAAGACATACTGCTCACTTGACTGCTCGTGTATAACGCATCACCTGCACCGCTCACCTCCACAATATAGGAGAGTCTGTTTTGCATTTTCTTTTTAATATAAAGAACAAACATTCAAGTATTAACAGTGCTCGAACACTTGGAAGGGCTCGCAATCAACAATCACACCTCTGGACGAAACAGGTACAGACCCTTAAAAAATTACAGCAAGGTGACGAACAACAGCTACCTACAGCTTTGCAAGATGGTCTCCGCATCCAAGAAGTCAAATTTGTCTGCAGTAAAGTATGCAGAAGTGATCGTCAAAAGTAAAACAATGATATACTAACAGCTGTCGCTTAATATGCTTTTTTTTACAGCATAAAACCTGCTCTAGCTTAGGTGTAAAACACTCTAAAAATGTACAAAACTATGTCACTGGGAGTTGCACAAGCTAAAGTTAACGACAGAATAACACTTACGCTCTAAGCTTCCAAGGAGTGCACTTAAAGCACGTTGCAAAGGAAGGTCTCTTCCCAACAGGCAATCAACATCACGTTTTCGGGCTCTGTACAACCAGTTCAATACAAAGTGAAGAATTGTGCTATAAACAACAAAAAAATCGGCAGTTTTTTTTTTACCTCTAGTGTATAAAGTTTGATTCATGGGGGTATCTCGTAATGTACAAGATTGTATTTGAGGAAGCCGACCACCAAACTGTCAACCGACTACAAAAGAAGGGGAAAAAAGGAACTTTTTAATTTTGATTGTTACGTGGATTGCATGTTTACATAACGTGTGCAAAAACGAATTTGTGAGTGAAAAAAAAAAAAACCAATGCCCGCCCAACAACCTTAATGTAGATGTTATCAATCTTGTATGCATGACGCCTCCAAACACTTGCCACCAATGCATTCAAACATCATCTTCGAAACAGATTCTATAAAATCACTTTCACTGTTTCGTCAAAAGACTACATTCTCGTATGTAATACACACACACCAGCATGAATATAGAAAATGGTTACTGCCAGTGACTGTGGCATATCAAGCAGCTACAAAAGCTTCCATTCATAGTAACTTGAGCATTTACACACAAACTGCACGATAGAAACAGAAGGAACACAAGAACTTCCGAGGAAATGTAGTTTCGTCTGCATACGTACAAAGTACTGCTGAAAGCACCGGGTGAACTACACTCGGGTACTAAAACTTCAATAAATTATATAAAAAAAAGAAGCTACATTGCCATAGGTGAAAAAGTGTCGTAGCTCCATGTATGCAAAAGCTCATGTGGAAAATAAGGCCACGAATTCGTCTGGCAGTATTGTAATTCTCAAATTATTTAAGCCACTGGAATGTTTCGACACCAACCAACACAACTATTAGCTGCCTATGCATATATGCGGTGCCACACAAAACAAACTGTGGCTAGCCAAGTTTGACGTTGGTAGACTGTGCATATAATGAGCTCACTATCAACAGAGGGTGGCATGTGCACTATGCATTTGCACCTATCTTTCTCAAGTCCTTTTAACAATGTCATTTGAGCACCAATCACAAAGCAAGTTGGCATGTTAGTGGAATTTCATGAAGCAAACTTGTCAAGCTCGGGCATTCTCAAAGGAGCTGGGGCGATACAAAGCTCGCATAGTAAGCCATCTTGTGAGCAATGGCTACAATGAACATCTTGCTTTCTTGCGCAGGAAATCTCTAGCTTGGTTGTCACAGTAAACTAGTGGTAACCAGGGTAACATGAGCAGCCTAAATAACCAAGCCATGATATTTATCTCAAACACTGTTGGTTCTGTTACTGTATTGCATTGTAGGCAGAGTTTCAGAGAGTCAATGAGAGTTCTAAAATGCAGCAATGGCCAAGCTTACCTAGCTCTGAAGCCATATTTTGAAGCAACTCATATTTTCAATAGCTTTAGTCAGATATTAAGGTAGCTTGCACGCTACCGCTGCTATGGTCAGGAATGCCTACTTACTGCTAAAGGATACAAAATCCCATGAGTAGGAAGAGAAAAAATTCTACAGAACTAAACCTTATCAATTCCGCTGCCCTGCCATGTGCCAAAGCAACAACTTGCTTGCTGATCAATGATGGCGTGACATTATTAAAACGCCGGCATGTTGCACTTCTCAGAGTGCAAGCCGACCCCACCCCATCAGGCATCGTGCCAAAGGTACACCCATTGGGCAGTTGGCATCCTGCACCCCTACTTGACACATCACCAACCAACAACCTATATAGCAGCATATTACAATAATGAGTTTGAAGAGGGGCCGTAAGTTGTAATCAATCTGGCTCGGGTAACAAGGAACCGCAGGAACAGTGAGCAACTGTAGTATGCATTAGAATGAAGGCTGGGCAAGAGCTTGGCAGTGAACCACAACTTCACGCACACAAACATACACACGCTCATGAACAAGTGGGGGTAAATCTTTACATGACACCGAACAAGAAAGGGACACCGTCATCGTCGTTTTCAAAGATGCCGCAGGCGTCCTTGTCTGCCGGGTAACTCGAGCACAGCTCCAAAGTAGGGATGGCAGCAGCAGAAACAGTTGCGCTGCGAGTGCGCCCCACCAGCGGGCCACACCCAAGAAGAGAAGGCCGGTTGGTGTTCCAGCATGTCGCTTTTGTGCGACACAAAACGGGCACATTCCTCCCCACAATATAAATGGCGGTGCTCTGCTCTGGACCACAGGTGCATTCGAAAATGCAAATTCGGGCAGGACTGGAGAATACGGCAGCACACTGGCACACCATGACGCGCACCGACATCCTGTTCTGGGGCAGACAGATCCAAGGCAGCGCCGTTTGGGAAAACGTTTAAAGCAAGCACCTTGCAAGAGAAAACCACACCCTCTGCATATGGGCACACACAAAAAAAAAGGGTTTGCACAACACAGTGCACCTCTGTATTACATCAAACGAAATATAATTCATTTTTAATGACTGCTACAGCAAAGTGCTTGTGACCTTTCACATGCTGCTCTCTGATAAATACTCCGAGCATAGGTAATAAAATTATCGCTCCTTCCAAGACATTGCTAATCTTGCACGTGGGTTTCCAAAACTGCTGAAAACGTAGTCCTAAACAGCACCTAAAACCGCAAATTTGTGATTCACAATGCAGTTGCTACAATAACCGCCCGCTTGAAACACTTTTCTCCTCTTGCATTGGAATAATGCTGCTATATATATAACAGTCTATAAGGCAAATGGAGAATCGCCTAGCCATCAGCCGAACCTGGGAAGGCCTTTTTGGAGATTTATTGGCAGTGAAGTGAAACAGGTTCGTAGCAGATTGATGGCCTCGCAACAGGTGAACTGATGTTGCTCACATGCACACGAGTTGTAGACAATGGTGCCGTGCATAGCCTCTATGGAGAAGAAAACAAGCACAGGAAATGCAGATACGATGCTACTGATCAACCAACGTGCATGTTAAGAGTAAATGGTGATCTGATTTGTTCACGTATGGTCTACCTTGACTACAGCCGTGCAACACTGAAAGACATTATTGCGTAAAGAGAAAGGAAACTGCTTTGAAGGTAGAATGAGAAAAATTTTCATGAGCACGTACACTGTATTCCACACCACAGCAGCTCCTGGAGCTATGTAAACAGTGAAGCCACAAAAGCTGTTTGACAAATTTTTTGCTGAGTAGTAATATGAATGCTCACAATTCCTTTTTAAACAGAGTGGAAATTTCAACACATATTGTGGAAAGACTGAGCACATAAAAAAAACTAACTGATGAAATAATGATACCATCCCATTTAACTCTGTCACCTAAGAAAAAAAGTGCGTAACTGCAAATGCTTACTCCAGCCGATACTACACTAAATGGCAAGAGACTGCCATGCACGACTCTGTGCCACCTGTCACGTTACTCTTTAGCAATACAGGTAAGGCTGAAACTTTTCACTTATTTTGATCTTAACTACATGTCTCTCGACACCCACCCATTGACATGGCTTGTAACTTCAGTTATTTCGATTACAAAATTGAGCCTTGCCAGGTAGGCCATGATATAAAAAATGTTTCCCTTTTCCCACAAGGAGTAGTAGGCTAGAAACCCGCTTTCCAGGCCAACCTTCCTTCCTTCTCATTAAACACCTTCTTCTTGAAGCGTCTCAAAACCCCGATGTGATATGAGGTACGCCATTAGTGGAGGGCTCTCGAAATTTTGACCACCTGGTGTTCTCTAACGTGCACTGAAATCCAAGTAAATCTCCATTTTACTTTCATCGCAATGCAGCTGCTGCAGCCAAATCTTGCCAGAAACAGTTAAACCTCAATACAACACTACATTTCTCTCGGAACAACTTGTCCTCGGAACACTGCATTTTTCAAACCTCCATTTAACGAAGCGCGTATATCCGCGATTTCAATACAATGGGGCTACACTGCTGCCACAAAACTTTTGCTGGAGACGTCGGTCATACAGTTGTGTTGAACACTATCTTTACAAGGTCTTTTTCAAGTTGCGTGCTATGCCGCAAAGAGCTGCTGCCAAAGTGAAGCGGTGCATTTTATGGCAGCAGCTTTAGAAAACAGCCCAACTCTACGCGTTCCTCGTCTTTGGAGCAGTGCCAAGGGAGAGCATGCGACCAGCTCCTAGCATGTGGGAACGCTAGCACAGACACTACGCTACCACCTCTACAGTGCTCTGTATTCAGCTCTGCATATGCAGTATATCAGTACTCGACATGGTGTTTTTGTTATCACCACGTGACAAGCATGATTACCTGCAGAGGCAGCAGCGCTAGATGCAATCAGCTCTTAATTCCACGCGATTGTTCAGGAAATGGATATTGCCGATGAAGCTATTGGCTCGTAAGTGATTTCAATAGGTGAGAAGTAGCTGCCGCTTCTTTCGCAATGTCACCCAGCTTCTTCCTAATCATCCTGAACTTGATAAGGAGGCATTGGGGACTCTACGAAGAATATAGGATGGATTATGAACAGAAGCAATTAAAACAGGTGTCCTCACTGCAACTGAGTTTGTTGGTAAGGGCGCTGCTACAGCCAGTTGTAATTAGGAGACGACTGTTTTTTTTTCTTTCTTTTATTATGCTTGCACTTACCAGCAGCACCACTACAAGCTCTAGAAAACTATGTGTATTTTCAGAGATACAGCCAACTGAAAAGAATGTTGAGCAAATATACAGCAGCTAATCAAATTTACGCTGTACTGCACATGCTTGATTTTTCAAAAATAAGCACATGCAAAGTTGCAAAACATAAAACTTGGACCATTAATAAAGGTGCCGTAATTTACGTCATCTTGCTATTATGAGATTTAAGATCACGAACTTTTCCGCTTTGTGACGAGCGATGGTTCTCGACACTGAGCATTCATCAGAGCGAGTAGAAAGCATGTGGTTCAGTTCCGTGAATGTTACAGCACTGGCATCGCACCCACCGAGAAACTCCATAAGCTTGGTGACAGGTCGTAGCGACAGAATAGATATGACAGCTCAGCTTAAAGGTGTCATAGCTGCACTGAAACACCGTGGTGATGACTTCAGACTTCATTGAAATACTATGAAGTTGTGGTAGTTGGATTTCAGGCTTAAAAAAATTTATTCTTATTTAGAGTTTTTGAAATTATTTTTTCATACTGCCTTATCATTCAAACATTCTTCCTGCACTTCCTGAGCAAGAAAGAAGCCTTTGGCGACAAATGCACAAGGCAGTGAATTTCAATTTTAAAAAATTTAGGCATAACAAAGTATTGCCGGTTGTAGACTGTTATATCGAGGTTTAACTGTATTTCAAACATGAATGGTCACAGCAAGTGCACCAAATCATTCTTTAAAATTTCCTATTGTTGTGACACCAATGGCTGCAGAATTTGTCTTGTAGGTGCCATGGGTGTTGAAAACACAGCAGTGAGCCAAAAATGCCAATTTAAAGCTAAGCCTGATGAGATATTAATGATGCAATATTCACTTTAACTTGATAATAACCACACTTACCTTATCAGTACTTCGCCCAAAAGAAAACCGATGTGAAAAGTTTAAAAGAAAATAAAAATAAATGGCTGGCTACTGTAAAAGAAACTTTGTTTCATGGTTCCGAACAGGCACTGTTGACTGGACAAACGTAATTTTGCACACTCAACATGACAAAAGACCTAAAATAATGAATGGTGGTGAAGTCTCTATCATATGAACAGTCAAAGACTATGGAGATGCTGATGCTGCCTTAAACAGTGTACACTATACTTTAAAAGCAGAGTTAAAACGCACACGGAATCACCTTTCTTTCTGCATTTAAAGTAGGCATTTCCAGCTGGCAGTATGCCTTCCCACATGCAAGCCTAAACCTATGTACCCGACCAGAGACACATAAATGAAGAGAGGTTAGTTGTCAAATTCTGCCTGGCAACTACCTATTCTTTTTCAGGATATAGTTATTGTTGCTGACTGAATTTGGCTAACACATTCTACAACAAAAACTAGAACAATACATCAATTAGGGTCTTTCAATGTTTTCCAGTCAAACGCTGCACTAGACTTGGAAAACTTTGGGCAAGATCTGTACAACCGTGACTCATGCACGAAGACATGTATCAAGGCGGGCATGTTCATTGTTCTCATCACAAGGTCCTGCATGGCTTTGTGTTAACACTCTGCTAGAGGATCTGGCATCACTTGGCCCCTGTTGCACGACGTATCAAGGTCGTCAACACAGACTGTGCGGTATTTTTGCCAACGTAATGGTATCGAGAAACACAAAACAACTATAGTGAATACGTGCCAATCCACCCTTGTGGCCTGCCCCAGAACAGGAATGCCTACGAGATTTTCACGAAAGGCGATTGTTCCAGGAGGGTCCTCAGGACAGCACAGTGTGGGGTGTTGCGAGAACATTGCGGCCTTGCCATGCGCGCCATGGCTACGGCATGAAGAAATAAATTATTGATGATGGACATAAAAGGTCCCACAATGAGATTCTTGCAGGATTCTGCAGATGCTTCACGGGTATCTGTCCAGATTCACACCACTTAAAACATTGGAGAAGACTGACGGTCCTGCTGTGATAGACTACCTGCAAAAAAAAAAAAAAAAAGGGAGACCTTTAAGCTTTGCCTTCCACACACAAACACACACACACACACTACTGCCTTCCCAATTGCTAGCCTGCCTTTAAATCTTGCTTCTCTCTTGAGACCTGAAGTGGGCCCCAAGGAATGTCAAGGTGCAAACACCCTCTGGATTTTATATTTATTGCGTCTACATTGAACTTTCACTCACAACAAAAGATGCCACCGCCAACACAGGAAACTGCGAAGTGATCGCGTTAATGCTTTCACGTTAATATTGAAGCTGTAATGGAGAAAGCTCCAACAAGCAGCAGTGGGTGCTGCCCACAAAAAATAGGCACTAGTAGAAACAGCGGTGACGACGAAACTCTGAAAGTACATGCACATCCAATGCTCCAAGAGTCAAAATGATGATGCCTGCCGGAACTGCTGAAGACGAAACTGCAGATGATGCGATCATAGAAAGCCAACGATGCAGTTCCAAAGGCACATGCATGGTCAATGTACATAAATTGAAAACAATATCACTCTTTGCTGCAACCACCGTACATGAAACTGCAGTCATAATTGTTGCACTTGCCAATAGCAACTATGCAGCTCGGTATGCAGCTAACACAGTCGACGATTCAAGGCAAAAAAGAAAAAGGCACAAAGTGTTCCGGATTTAATGTTTTTACTGATTGCTATGGCGGAGCAGACTCCGACTGAGTTTTCGAATTGGCTCTAGTGAAGCTTTGACAAGCGTACTTGCTGCACTCCATGCAGAGTCAAATATGTCCAATGCAAAAAAAAAAAAAAAAAAAAACACACACCTTGCAAGACCAGAACATGAGTCATTAGCAGATCTTGTGACCATTTATCGTCCATACATGTTGCAATGAAATTCAGCAACAGAAAACGCTTTCACGCGTCTTGTCAATTTTGCTGCAGCAGGGTGCGACTGTACCCCTGACAGTCTGCTTCCATAAGAATTTGAAATAAAGCGAGTGAAGCACTTCTTTAGAAAGGGGTGCCTAAAACGAGCATCAGAGACGCACCTGAGAACAGCCTTCAAGACGTGGCTGTTCCTGCCACTGCGGCATCCTCTGTCGCCGGCTGTGACTGCTGTGGAGTCTGTGGCTGTGCGGCGGGGATGTCGAAGATCTCTGCAAAGAGTGGAGGCAGGCGCAGTGCATGCCAGTGCGGGCGCAGCCAAGCCAAGTGCCGGGCATGTGCCAGCCCCAGGGCACGTAGGGGCCCCAGCAGGGCTAACGCCCGCCCAGGGAGCCCCGGGTCCCCCGGGTGGTTGCGGCCCGCCTGCAGCCGCAGTGCCTCACACAGCCGACGCTGGCCCAAGTCAATGGCTTTGCTGTCGTACAACCCGCTGCGCTCTGTATTCACAAAAGGCAGGAATTACACACTCAATCCTTTCCGATGTATTCATGCATGATTGCGATTGGGAGTAGCACTCGGGGTGACATTGAAGCAACACGACAACGCAGGACCAACAACTCCATGCAATGCAGAGTCACCTTGTTCTTTAACTATTGTGTGTGAGCGACAGCTTTTTGTGCGTATCTTTGCCATATGACTTAATTAGGCTCCAAAAAGAGTGAGAACAAGTGCATGCCCACAAAACAATTTCTTGAAACTTCATTCTCATTCCATCATATGGTGCAGACCGCCAGAAAAGTCGCCGCTGCGCACGATAGCTCAAGATTTGGACGGCTGTTCCATCTGAGAACCACGCATTTTTGCAAGCTCAATCTATTACTTCATTCTTGATGTTGGCCATTGCTAGTTCAAATCAAAAACAATTTTGATTTGATTTGAACAGGTCACAGAGAACAAAAAACGTGATCCCAGAATAGAAAATTTACTGCAGTTAAACCCCTCCATAAGAGATGTTGATGTAAGAGAGGTGGGTGTAAGGGACACTAGCGTGCCTACATTGAAACAGGAATTCATCAGAATTCATCAAAAGACCCCACACACAAAGGAACAAGAAGAGATTTCTGATGCATGTCTCCCGATAAAGTGCTTCAACTACATCACAAAAATTTATATAACGTCTTTCCGGGCAGTGTGATACAACAGTGTTTTGGAATGTGTAAAGAATGCTGTCACTTGTTGACAATCATGCATCGGACATTAGCCAAGCGAAGTTTTGTGAAAGTGAAGGTATACAGTAAGACTTCGGTGTTAAGAATCTCGCAAGGTTATGAAAAACATTTGTATCAACCGGAATTCATACCACCCAAAAACATGGAAAGTCAGTATGCGACAACAGAAAGCTGGCGTACGTTTTCATTTATTGTTTCTTAGGATCGCAGCAACATCGTGAACAGCTCTGAATGATTGCCAGCAAAGTTTCAAGGTATCAATGATAATACTTGTTTTGTACATAAACGTGTGCATAGAACCTGATGCGTATTGACCTGTTACAGCTAGTTGCCCCTTCTTAATCCTAGTGTGCGCATTTCCGCATGACACCTGTTTTTTAGCGAAAACAGCCTAAAGGGGCATTTCGCAAACCGTTGTTAGAGGCCATAACACTTGAGAACTGATGCCGTGTGTTGTTATTTTCTTCTCGTGGTGGTGTGGAGGCTGTTTTTCGGGCAGTATGTACAGTGTTTGAGCCTCCTGTGCAAATATGTTGCGAGGCCCAGCTGCTTTCTCAATACCACCCTTTCCCCTTTTGTACCACGCCTGATTACAAAGCCATGACTTGCATCGACGTGGCAGGCACGTGTAAACATAGCACATCACTGCCTCGAGAACAGCAGCACACATAAACGTGTTGGGGGGGGGGATTGTGATGCTATTTGTGATCCATGATATGCGCGCACAATATCGGAGGACAGCACGTCCCGCTGATGGCCGATTTAGACAAACTGGCACCATGAAGGGAATGCCCACGCTTAAGCTCGCGCGGCCGCGTTGATTGCTGTCTTCCACGGCAGCGTGAACAGCACCTGTTCAAACCTGTGTGGTAGCGTACGTTCGTATCTAACATCCCAAGGTGAAAAACAGTTCGTAATCGCTGAGCTCCATTACATTGCAGGCTAATGGGCCCTGGCAGGGACCACAGAAAAATTTGTACCACACCTGAATCGTACAAGCCAAGATCGTATCACCGAAGTTCCACTGCACAACCAAAATTTAGCGAAAATATGGCACGTATTTTGTGGTCATCAAATAAGTTGCTATTCCTTTTAGATTAGGTATCTTGATAGTTTTCATTACTTAGAATACTGAGTGGTCCTCATAAGGTCCTACATAGTTATTAGTCAGTGACTATACTTTGGCGAAATCACCCAAGGCCCTGCACTCTCGGCAGTCAATAGGTTTTTTTTAAAGTAAGTTTCATGTACGTATATCGGCACAAGCAAGTGGGGACAATTCGCAATGTTGCCGATGAAGCTCTTTCTGTCAAGAGACTTCAGAGGATTTACAAATGGGACAATTCCATTACATTTTTTTTCTAGCACACAGTCTCAGCAAAAATAAATTCCATGCAGAGACTTGAGAAACACAACGTTCGCTTCCTAACTTACCATTCGTTAGCAGCACAACGGCTGAGAAGAGGCCGATCTCCGTGTCATTCAGCTGGAGGTTGTTGAACGCCACAAAGAAGTTGAACATTGCCGATACAAAGTCGTGCTGAAAGACGAATACGGAAACCTTCAATAGGATCCCTTCATCAGTACAGACAAGCAGTGTGACTGTTTCAGATGACCGCAAAATACCTGTTCAAAATTTCCACTAATTTCTTTCTATTTACAATTAACCTATTATCCTATCGGTTGCATTTTTCAGATAAGATCACATACACCACGAATTCACACACCGTGAGACAACTGCGATTAAAAAAAGAAAAAAAAAGGGGGGGAGGTCTAAACTTGACGCCATGAGCAGTGCTGACCAATACATTTAACACTCATCTTGCAGACATATTATGCAAATACCCAAAAAGAAAGTGGTCTAATGTTGGTACATGGTAGCTTAATATTCAATGCACTGCAAGTGCAATGAGGCAGGCGTGGTTAAGCTCCCACTCACAGAGTTGTCTTAGTTTCACTTTTAATTCTCATTTTGGTTACTTGTACGTATCAACTGAACTTATTAGTTTCCTCACCATTCAACGCTCTATTCACTGTTTGTTCAGAGAATAGAACTTTGGCCAGTGCCATCTCTCCTAAACAATCAGTTCAATTATAACTGAACTGAGGGAAAGAGACTTCTGAGAAAATGCTTTATCAGAGAAACTATCAACTAATTTAATGTTTTTCTTTTGTGTCTTTTAATGTAACAAGGTTTTAGAAACACAGATCAGTTGTCATGAATGCTATAAACTATACAGCAAGTAAGGGCAAACTGTAGTTCAGCAATTTTGGACTGAGCCCAAAAAGCACAAGTAGCCTTGCATTTGGTCTTGGTGCGAGACTCTTTTGAACATAACCACAGAGACACGAGATTCTTTTGAACATAACCACAGAGACCTTGTAAATGTTGCTATAGCAAAAGGAGCTTACTCACATCAAACATAAGCTCGAGCTGCTGCCGAATGAGGTAGGTGCCATCGCTAAAGGTGAGTGTGTCGTGTGGGAGACCAACCAGCACTCCTTTCGATACATGTACCAGCCACACTTCAAAGAAGCCGGCCTGCATGGATCAGCATGAACATGAACAAATATTGAAACAACATGAACATGAACAATTATTGGAGCATGCGTACCTGTTCAATTTGCCCAGCAAACTCGTAATTTTATGAGCGTGTTAGAAATCCCCTGAAAAACCACCCCAACCCCACACTCCGAAAGAAAAAAAAAAGGACATTAGCTGTACAATTTTCTGGCCTTGGCATGTCGTGTGCGGAACGCTTGTTAGCATTGTTACCAAAGACAGCAATCACCAGTGGCGGCTATTAAAAAACTGCAGGGCAAGTTTATTTAATGAGCAAGTGCCATTACAGTAAGCGCAGGGATGCTATATGGCCGCTGCACAGCTCTGCCCAATAATAAAGTTTCTAGCATGAGTTTTCAGTAACATGTATTGATCGGCTTGGAATAACTTCTTTCTTATTTGTGCATACAGGAAGGCATATCTGCCTAGATGGGGCCGCCTGTTGGCAGCTGGGGCTGTTGCTCCTGCACAGCCTCTACGACTCACTGAACGGTCCAAAGTTGGTTTGGGAGTTCTGAATTGAGTAGCGCCGCGGTACCTGTTGCATTAATATTCTAATATGACAGTGAAAATCACCTGCTTGGAGCACCAGAATCTCTTCCTCTCGAAACTTTGGTCGTGATGCCTAACAATGTTACAGCAATGAGTGATGAACATCTAACACAAAACACAAATTAAAACTTTTTATTCATGCTTAGCTCAAAGAAATTTGTGACAAGAGATTGGCGAGCACCAGCACTAACTGCAGGTGTGAACCTGAAGAGCTGGAAAAAATGTAAGAGGGACATATATCAACGAGGTTTAACAGCAAGAATGCTGAGCAGTGTTGCAAATGCCAAATAAGAACACATTTTCGGCCCTTAGGACTACAAATATCCCAGTCGCTAGTGGGAAGTTGTGACAGCGCTCAGGTATGCATGCGTGGGAGGGGTGCCATCCATACCTTGATGAGAATGAGCTGGTCATCTTGGACGAGATCAAGAAATCCTGGCACCCGCTTGGCGAATTCGACAACCCTCTGGACCGAGGGGGTCACCAGAGTGGCGAACTGCTGCCATAGGCCCAGTTTGCTCTGCTCGGGGCTATCTGGCTGTGGTGCATTGCCCGGGCCCTCGCCACTGCCGCCAACCTCGTCCAGGCTCTGCATCCCCCGCACATGACACAAATACCACACCCGTGCTTGTTCGCATCCCAAATGCAGAAAGAGATCAGAACAGACTGTCTACAAATTCTGCAACAAAACGCACAAATACGCAAGAGATATTAACTCATATAAATTTTTAGCATGTCTGTCTATTTTGAAAGGATAACCTTTTGGGCCAGTAGGTAAGGCACACCAGTGGGGAAGCAATGCAAACATCTTCCTGTCCACCTTGAGAAATGTGTTTCCAATAAGGATTCACAGTAGTGCTTGTACCGTCTGCCTCATTTGGAGTCCTGTCACGTTTCATGTGATTTATTTTAGTCTAACATGGTTCTATCACTCAACAAGACATTAGCTTTAAATCAACATGCTCTTATGACTATATATGTGTCTAGTATTGGCACAGCTCCTCTTAGCATAAATTACAGGAATAGATAACCTCTCAGAGATAAATTAAGTTAACTGCATTAATAAGAAAGTTTCTATTGAACTTACACTACTTTTTCGTTAAACATGAATTTTAATATTATTTTCTCACTAAAGTCACAAAAAATATTCTTTGGTGCTCCACGCAGCAATAAAGCAGAGATACATACGATGGACATTGTGTGACCTTTTAGTGGTGTACACTGTTATTTGTCTCTATATTATTGTAGAAATGTAGTAGTCCTTTTTCATTAAAATGTTTATAACTTAAAATGTGCACATACAATTTCGTTGGTATTGAGCAGACAGTGGTTCTGCTTTCGCTTGGTGAATGATATGATGCTCATGAGCGGCAGCAAGACGGTTGCTAGCCATGTACTTAGCTACACTTGTCGACAAGTTGGAGAAGTGCTGGGAGCACCTGGATCATGAGATGACAAGCATTCGAAAAATTCATTCTACCAGCGTTTTCTTTTTTTTTTTTTCAGTCGTTATTGGGTGTAAGCATTGGGTGTAATCAACAGTTTGCAAGGAGGGCTGTCGGCATCGCTATCGTTTCTCAGCGCTGCTGGACGAGGCACCCGTACTTTTTTAGTGACTTCTGAGATAGAAAAATGCTATTTACAGTATACCCACACCCTTTTAAAATCAACCACAGCAGAAATAACCACTACTGAGGGGGCCACTTCATTACACCTTAAAAAAAATGTGTTGACAAAGATCATTTGTCACCTAATTTAACCAGCATGACACTCCAAATGTTGAGCAATCTCAGGGAAAGTAATGTACTGTGTGGTGATTTTGTCAGCCAGTGACTGCACAGAAAACAAAAGCAAGTTTCCTTGGCGCTGGAGCAGCGATCGTGATGAATGTTTCCTGAAAGGGGTTCACGACGTGCGGCAACCGCAGGTCATGTCCCGTGACGAGTCTGCCGTTGGCGACGCCGCATTCCCGGTACTTTGTTATTTTTTGTTTGAGTGTCATATTGGGAATATTGTATTACGTCGGTTAGCATGTCACTAGTGACATATCCGATTCCGCTGGCGACATCGTTGTTTTAAAAGCAAGTGAATAAACGTACAAGTGTCTGGTTTGCTCGATGTGGCTTGCGTCTCTATGTGGTCCACGAGCACAACATTCGTTATATATCCCACATAGTGAAGGTGCTCACCTCCTCATTTAGTACGAGTACGTTCTCGGAAGGTATTTTGTCAACGAGTGCTATTCAAGCAGTGAATGCATCCTTATACAGCAAACAGCATTGCCAATGCATCCAGCTCAACCTACCGACTGATGGAGATTGTGCACTTACCTTTTCACTGCAATGCCACTGTGATGCGACACTGACATTACGCCACAAGTCCCTTTTTCACTATTGCCCCAATTTTCCTAACTCTCCAACCAATCCCTCTTCACACCCGTGCATCTAATTGATAAACAACAATACCATGTACCTAGAATGATCTTTTAATGCTATTGTTCAAACAAAAAAGTTTGAGAGAAAATATGAGATGGTATGTATAAACCAACGCCTCCTCTAGAAAGATGCCTGAGGAATGGCTGGCGCTCCCAGCAGAGTTGGCCTGCCTTCAGTTTTAAACATGCTCTCCGCGGTGGCGTTCGCGACCGACACTATTATCACGGCGACGGGCGGTACCAGCTAAGCGTTTTTCATCTGCGGCCCATAGGGGCGCGACAGTCGAGAGTTGTTCGAGACCTGCTATTGTGCACCACTGTTTCGGAGGCTATGCAAAGTGTTGCGTTGTTGCACCGTCCGCCACAGGTGACGCTAGCGACCGAGAACAATTTCAAAATGAAGGAGGGAAAGTGTGTGGCAGCTGCTTTTTTTCTCATGCGGCAGGCATCTTCCTAGAGGAGGCGTATAAACAGAAGATTCATCTAGAACCAAATCATTGTTTGGCCTGTCTGTCTGCAAGAATTGTACACATAAACAGACTGCAACTTATTTTAAAGGAATGACTGTGTAAGTTAACTGCCGTGTTGAAGATACATATAGACAGAGATGGTAACACAAAATGAAAAGAGAAATAAGTGATGCAACAGCTACTGATGCCAGTATTGGTTCACCACATTCGCTCAGTACAAATCTCAATGGTGCAACTTTAAAACATGATGACAGCAACAGCAACTGAGGAGGCTGCCATTAGGGCATTCACGTCATAATACGTGATTTACTTGAACCCAGAATGATATTTCCCCCCCCCCCCCTTTATTTAGGTATAATCACATACCAAAATGAAGGGTCGACTTAGATTTGAGAATTATTATTACTATTTAATGTACCAGTTTATAATCAGGTGGTTGTCAAGCGATTTCCAAGATAGCACTGCACTGTGTGGCCAGTTTGTCAGTTTGGTATATGTCACCATCTGTTCATTGTAGCTTTGATATTGCTGCTTGAAAAATATAGTATTGCAGATGCTACTACCGTATATACTCGTGTAAGGGCCGCCCTCGTGTAAGGGCCGCACCCCAACTTTGAAAGCGGATATTTCGAAAAAAAAAAAAACAAAAGTTCAAAATGTCCCGCCAGAAAAGTGTAGTTAGTTCATTTACAGCCAGATGGCGCTGCACGCTTTTCCGCTTTTATTCTACTTCCGCCGACGCGCCGACCACGCTGTTGACAGCGCGCCGCCATATTTGCCTTGTGCGGCCTCTTTGTTGGCATCGTTCCTAGCATCGTGTCGATACGTTGGCAGCGCGACTTCAGATCGGTGTCGTCGGTGTCACTTTGTTGGTTGTAGTGAACCCTGCAGAAGCCAGCGCACGTGACGGACGATGGGCCGGCATCTGAGATCATTCACTGCAGCATTTAAGCTGCAAGTGATTGACTATGCCGAGGAGCACGGGAAGCGGGAAGCTGGACGAAAGTACGACGTCGATGAGAAGCGCGTGCGTTACTGGATGAATCAGAAAGATGCCCTCGCCGCTACTAACAGGAGCCGAAAGGCGTTTCGCGGGAAAAAGTGCAAGTACCCGCAACTCGAAAGCGAGCTCGTCAACTACGTCGTCGACACACGAAGGGACGGCTACGCCGTATCGACTGACATGATACGCGTCAAAGCCCTCAGCATCGCTCGCCACATGGAAATACCCCCGGCACAATTCAAGGCAAGTCGGGGCTGGGCTACGCGGTTTATGAACCGTAACCAGCTTTCTATTCGGCGCCGAACGACGATTTGCCAAAAACTGCCGCGCGAGTACGAAGACCACGTCATTAAGTTTCATCGCTTCGTGAATGCTCTCAGGAGGGAGCATGAATACGACCTGTCCCAAATTGGGAATGCGGACCAGACACCTGTGTGGTTCGATGCACCGGAAAGCACCACAGTGGATTTAAAAGGTGCGAAAAGTGTGTCTGTGCGCACGACTGGTGCAGAACGCCAAAGGTGCACTGTGATGTTGTGCATCACGGCAGACGGCAGGAGGCTTCCGCCGTACGTCGTATTTAAAAGGAAGACTCTCCCAAAAGAGAAGTTCCCTCAGGGAATCGTCGTACGTGCGCAAGAGAAGGGCTGGATGTCCGAGGAACTGGTCGTTGACTGGATTAAGACCGTCTGGGCAAACAGACCTGGAGGGCTGTTACAACGGAAAGCCCTCCTTGTTTTGGACAGCTTTAGGGGCCACTTGACCGACCGCGTCAAGAACCGAGTTGCCGCAACTCGTACGGACTTGGCCGTCATTCCCGGTGGCCTGACGAGTGTGCTGCAGCCGCTCGACGTATGCGTCAACAGACCATTCAAAGTGGAATTTCGCCGATGTTACTCTGAATGGATGGCTGGAGGCGTCCACGAGAAGACCCCTACAGGACGGCTGAAGCGGGCGTCGCTCCAACAGGTGTGTGAATGGATTTTGAATGCGTGGCGTGCCATGTCAGTAGAAGTAGTTGCTAAAAGCTTCAAGGTAACGGGAATTTCGAACTCCATGAACGGCACCGAAGATGACCGTCTCTGGGAAGACGCGGACGCCGAGGCGAGCTCCTCCGAGAACGAGGACAGCGAAATGGAATCCGAATAAAAACATTTCTGGCATGTCATTTGTGACTCTTGCACTCTGCTACTGTTGCATAAACAGTACAGACCTTTGGCCTGTACTGCCTGTACTAAATCGGCCTGATTCGTGTAAGGGCCGCACCTAGCAAAATTTTCGAAAAAAAAGTGCGGCCCTTACACGAGTATATACGGTAGCTGCACTGGTAGCCAATCGAATTACACCAGTTGTCATTAACACTGGCGTCGTAGCTCTGTATAATGATTCATTGCACGTTTACTGGTTCCATATTTGCTTCTGAAGCTGCGGCGCGGCTGACACCATGCTGTATCACTGAAAATCTTTCGCCATTTCAGTGAACCTAGCCTGTCAATGATTACAACTTTAGTGTAAGTGTGGCGATGGCCACAAACACAGTGGTAGTCACTGCTGACGAACGTGCGAGTACGATTTGTTGGCAACCACAAATAACATAATTCTTTTGCTTTTTTTTTTTTTCTTGAATTGTACGCATTCGATTAAACACAGAAAGGAGCAAAAGTACAAAATTAAAAGGTACAGGCAATATAAGAAATGAATAGCACTGCTCTCTTTTTTTTGCTTCATATCACAGTGGGGTGCCACGTTGCATGTGAAGTGTGAGGATATGTGGGCTTGACCTGTGCGAACCTTTCCATGAACGTGACAACTGTGTGAACAGTGGGGATGCATTCATACATCACTTCCCATTGTTCCTGCTGTATGAATGCATTAAACATTACAACGAAAACGAACCACACCAGCTTTGAACACTCATGCCGCAAGCACCCCCTTGCCAGGCTCATGCTTATGCACACTCACGAAGATGGCTGGCCGACGCACAAAGGCACGCGTCTTGTCTTCCGTGTAGGCACAGTGGGCATGATGTGCCTGTGAAATGGTGAGGATGATGTCGTACATGGCGAGCTGCTGACTCTCCAGGTCCCGTGCACACTGGTCTGCCTCTCCAGGGCTGCCCAGTGAGAGGCCCTCTTCACCCGAAAGGCCAGAAGAGCCTCCCCTTTCCCGAGAACGCTTCGGCACTCTCCCGTACCGCACCGCTGCACACACCATCAATACGTATAAAAAGCCAGCGCGAAAAACAAAAGCCAAGGCGATGATAACGCCAAGACGAGCTGAGATGAGCCACGAAAAAAGTTCGCGGATTTTCACTTAACTTGGATACACCTGTGTTCTTTTAGTTACCAATTTGACATCACCCCGTTTTTTTTTTCTTCTGTCTCCTCCTCATTTCAGGTGACCCTGCAATCTTCCATGAATGTTTCTTGTTCAGGGTTCAATGTCACACTAAGGACGATAATTATTTAAATGTAATGTCTGGTCTCCGAGAAATCTGCCTTTTCCTTTTTTTTGTAACATCAGGTAAACATTATATTGTGACTGTACACTGTCAGTTTGGATAAACAGTCAGCACATAGTTGCCCATGGCTACCTGGACCATCACTGCATACCCTTCAGGCGGCCATGGCCACACTTCCTACCGACAACAGCAAGAGATCACCAGAGGCCTTTCTAGAGAATGGCATATATTACAGGGACACTAAAAGAGAACGAAAATTCTCTCGTCAGAAATACAATTTCACAATACCCTCAACACGACAAGATGCTTTGGTAAGCAAGGAAACAAATAAATAGCATACAGGTGGCATTGCCGCTTTGAAGTTCTCGCAATTACTTGCTGCAAAGTCACGAATTTTACGTCTGATAGCACATCCGTAATCGTTTGTCGCTAAAAAAATAATTTTCGTTGTGTTTCGAGAAACATAAAGTCTTAAGATACCCAATTTCAGAAAATTTCACTAAGCCAATCTGGTCAAAATATGCAAAAGACTTCAAATTCATTACATCACATGGGCATTCTATGTACTAAACTCTTGGCACGAAATTCAAGTATAAAACCTTGACCTTCAATTCCTTTTCTAAAAATTAACCAATGATGGTAAAATCAGTGACAATAGTGTTCTGAAATAATATCCCATCTGTCTAATTTAACTTGGTGTTGCACTTAATACACATTTTGATAGAGATGGTACATTAATTGGATAGTGAGGCATATTTTACTATATTATTTAGTGAAATAAGTCTGGCATATCAGTTAAACAGAAATTGACAGTTAGGAGGAAATGCCATAAAACAGACGGCTGGCCCTTATCTAATGGTTGCCTGAAGTTACAAAAAAAATGAAACAGATTTCCCAGATGGCAAGTGTTAACCTTAATAAAACCATCCCATGCTTGGTGATCTAACCCTAGACTAGAAAATTTGTGGGTGATTGCCCCATCACATGATATATGCGAGAGACAGCAAATCTCTCAGCGATGCGAAATTGATAGCTCAAAACACAGGCATACGCAAGTCCTGCGAAAATCAGCAGAAGTTCCTCCATAGCTTCGTGCTAGTGTTGCGAGCACAACGATCCTTCCTACCACATAAAGAACTTTGATAAGCTGGACATAAGGAACTTTGATAAGGTAGGGACATTAGCCTCACTGGTTGCATGGTACGCTACCCCAGCTGTTTAGTGGCAAGTCAATAAATACATAGTTTTTAACGGAACCTTTATCAGCCAAGGCTCATTTATTGTTTCACTTCAGTGCTTGAACTGATGATGAGCTTGATGAGAGGTGGCTAAGAAAATGTGTAAGAGAATGAGAGAAACAAGTAAACAAATATACTCACAGTCTCTAGACATGCCCACTGCCAAACATTTCTTGAAGCGGCAGTACTGGCAGCGGTTACGATTTAACCGGATCACCAGGCACTTGCCATCCCTTAAACACCGGTATTCAATTTGCTTCTGGATGCTCCTTCGAAAGAATCCCTGTGCCACAAGAAAAAGAAACAAAACATGAAGCCATGCCATTGAAGTGAACAGCTTTAGGGCACCTGCTCATGTTCCTGAACAGCCAAGAAAGAACTATACCACAACGAAAATAATTGAACTGCCAGACAGCACAGATCAGAACAAGTAAAAAGGATGCCCCCTGGCAAAAAAAAAATCACCGTAACACTAGTGCTGACACATATTGGCACAGGCTCTAAATGAACGTTTGCCACAACGTTAATGCTAAGCAAACACGGCACAAGGCTTAAAATGCAATGGCAAAAATCACTTTCTCTCGAGACGATGTATTATCTACACGTTTTTGAACCTATGTAAACATAACGAGTAAAGGTTGGCAGAGATCGCCAAGCTGAACTGGCCCTGTGGGTGCACTAAACTGTGCTTCACTAAGCCGATAAGATTACAGCGGCCTTTGCAGACCATACGCTTAGCTAAACGAAAGGGCTTTCCGATCACAGCAGGCTACTTTACCCGGTGACGATAACATTCCTAGTAAGCTAAGAGCACTTAGTACATAGCGCGACCAATAACTATCTACACGACGCGAAAGAAGTTTCGTATGTGCGATGCCCGCAGGGACCAACAACCTCGATAGGCCAGCGTTCACAACACCTCTGACGCTCCGATATGCACTTCGGGCAAATTATATGGTGATACGCGGATAACATGCTTATGTAACTAGACGACGTTGACAAACATGATCAATAAACACATTCCGAACCAGGCGTTCACGCGAAAGAGCATCGAATCTTGGCACCAAACAAGCACGTATCGCAGGCAGCTAACAAGCATAGGAAATGGCGACATGGGGCAACAGAAAACACATACGGCGAAAGATCGAGAGCAAAAAAAAACATCCAGGTACCGACCCGAACATTTTGTGAACGCACGCACACAGATACACCAGGCCGAGACATTAAAAACAAAAACAAAGAAATCGCTGGTGTCAACGGCCAGGGCGTCATGACACAGCAGAGAGGCCAGAAAGAGTGCGACTTGTGAAACACGACAAATACCTTATAGAATGTCGATGAACTTTCGGAACCTTCTGCCCTAGTGTCCACTGTTAATGGGAAGGTGACAGAACACGCGAATTCTTGCAGGATATCCAAGCGGACAAAGCGAAAAGAAAGTTGTTCCCCAACTTTTCTTTTTTTTTTTCCTACGCGGCAGATCGCTGCCCTGTCCGAGGAACCTAGTTTCAAAATAACTCGCCACTACTTCCTACAACCGACTTAAAGCTGCGAATGTTCACGCAAAAACTCTGGCCTAGCCGATCGAACACAGTAAAAACTTCCCTGGGCACACGATCAGTCGTTCTTCTCAAGCGGGGAGCCGGTTAAGAAGTTGGGACTCTCACTTACGTCAAGTTTTGCGATATGTGTTTTTGTTCTTTCCTTCGGAGGCAACGTCCCGAGCAGAGTTGGGAGGTTCGGCCGGTTCGGCGCTGAAAGTTGATCGGACGCTGGCAGCGGTTGTTCGATTGAAGTAATAAGAATTTATAGAGATAGAGCTTAGTTAGGTTAACGTCCTGTCACCGCGCGCGGCCAGATCCCCTTTGTTTTAGGTATGCCGTCCCACAAGCAACAAAGTTAAAAAGTTTCTAAACTGCCGACGTTGCTCACGCTAGTGTTTTTCGCGATGGCGCTGCCGGCAACCGGTCCGACAAGTCAGAAGCGGGTCACCACGACAGCGAGTTTCGGTTTCGGAACGGTTTGCGGCCTGCTTTCTGTTGCGCATGTCTTCCCTTCGGAAATTGCAGCAATATTTTTAAATTGTCACCGCCGAGGTTAACTAGGAAAGCTAATAACGAACGCGCTATCCAATGTGCATGTGTGAAGTCAGCAAACAGTTGGTGGATGAATATTACGGGGGATGCATTATGACACCCGTCGGACGTTTGGGGCCGCAACTTTAGGTGACCATTTCATTTTTTTTTCTTTTCATAACTTGTGATTTTTTCCAATGCCACGGCACCATCACTACATTGAGGACAGGGCGTCTGATTGTACGCGTGATTCAATTGCACGCGATCCCACTTCACATATCTGATTGCAGATTTATTATCTGTGTAGCATATATAATGCGCCAGTATCATAGCTTTATTTGGTGTTATGAACAATTACAACACGGGACAAAATGCACGTTTCAAAGCAATAAAAAAAAACTATAAGGCACCGTAGTAGAGGGAAGACATGTTATTTTACTGAACGGTTCTCGATTGGTGACAAGTGAGAGTGGTTTTATTAGTGATATGGTACATACCACGTGTGATATCGACGTTGAATAATGACACTACCTAATGCCACGATTGTTAGACATTCTCGCGCACATCCTCATAGGAAAAGAAAGGGGGGGGGGGCATCTTGGTACACAGTGAAAAAAAAAAGTAATCATAGAGAGACCGATTGTCATGCTTACTGTTTCCCACCGTGCATTTAATACCGTTTTCATTGTTTGAAAAGTTCGTACTCGGTCCCATATGTGGTTTTAATTAATGCCTACTTCCAAGTTCTGTGGTTCTATACAAGTTCGTGTTTTTCCCGTACGTTAAACAAGCTCATTTATTGGGGGAAAGAATCATCCAGGGTCGTTCCTAGGAAAATGGGGAAATCAGGAGGGAACGTATAGGCACACACTCGACGCACTATAAATTACGGTACGCGACTGAAAGATAATGTTTACATTCAAAGGGCTGTTATGCGGGTTCGGTTCCTGCTCAAGGTGGCCAATTATTAAATGGGGGTGAAGAGGCAACAACGATCTTGTAAATTCAAGTGCTTCTTAATGAACCTTGTGTAATCAAAATTAATCAGGACTGTGCGACAACGGCTGACCTCAAAACCATATATCGTGTTTTAGGGAAGTTCAGACGTGAGCGTTTACCCCTGGCATGTTCTTTTTGTTAACTTCGGTACCTGTATGCCGTCTTCCTTGCGACGCGGTCAGTTTCCATATTAGGGATATACTACGTTTTCAAGGCTAAACATCAACCACAAGCTTTTAGGCTTTATATAGTTCGTGCGCTTGCCTGTAACGTCAAGGACATGGCGGATCGAGCGGCATCCGAACATAGGCATCGTTGATGTAGTTCCGAACACATTGTGGAGGAACATTTCCTGCTTCCTTGCCTTTTCCCCCTGATACACGGACGCTTAAGGCAAATATTAATAATCATTACTACTTCACTGGCGCTCCAGTGAGTGTTATAGTACAGCAACAGCTGGGATTTAATGATTTTGAAAAGAATAAGTAAGCTTTCACAGCTGGCTGTCCGCCACGTGCCGTATACTGGCACTGCGCTCATAAACTTCGAGAGGAGTGCCAGGATAAAATTACTTCATGTGACTGAAAAAAAGGAAGGGGAATTTCATATCCTTCTTTTCTTTCCTTTATTAGGCATAGTACCAATGAATGTACAGAGGATGTTATTTTTTCAATAATTAAGGTATACATGTGAAAAAAGCAAAGTAAACGGCAAAATGACCTGCCGTTAGCAGGGACCAAGCCTGAAACCTTACGAACCTTAGTACACTGCATGGCCTATAGAGTTAGTGACTTAGCCAGGCAGGAGGTTTCAGAGGCTCAATAGTCTCCTCTGTCCCGCTATTTTACATTTCGTATGCGTGTATATACGGACGCAAACATACAAACACACACGCACGAACACGCACTGAGGGAAGAGCATTATACGGGCGCTTTCCAAAAATGGATGTGTGGATGAAAAAAAAAAACTTCATTAACTGTCCGGCAAGACAGTGAAACATTACGGGTAAAGTTCCTATAAGCAGCCTTCACCACGCATTATACGGATAGTACTGGAATGTAAATGAGCAGTGCGTCATTATGCATATTATTCTCGGTGTAGGTACAAGTACAGGACCTTTGAGAGATGACGAGTCGAATGATCATTACAGTTCATTAGATATGAGAACTTATCTCCTCCAAAGAAGCGCGTATACTTCGCGGTGGCGCTCACATCGAGATCTTAGTTACGATATCTATTTCATATATATTGAAATGTAAGTATCCTTGTCGAACCAAAATTAGAATCTAGAAAGGGATCATTGTCGATGAGCCAAAGTCTGCCAGTATACGCACGGCATACGCACAGAAATGCACACATAAGAGTTTGTATGTGCGAGCACATACACATACAGCTAATGCTTAGTTCGAAGTTCGGCCAACTTGAAGGGCTGTAGAATTACTATTTGTGCTACCTAAAAGTATACAGTAACTCTATAGAGGGCGTACGCACAGCGCGGACGTTGTTTGGTCTCTCTGTGTGAAAAGTGTGCAAAGCGAGTTCACGTTCTGCGCATGCGCCAAACCACAGACCTGATTCTCTTGAAAGCGTTATTGGTGTACGTTGTTTTTTTTTAGTGTGTGCGTGCGTGTGTCAGAAAAAAGAAGTAAAGAGAACCTTGCAATTTCTGAATTTCTCAGAAAATTCGCCAGCAGAAAAACCGTGAACACCATGACCTCACCCGAACACACACACACACAAAGGGGGGGGGGGGGCAGTTAGAGAGTAAAGAACAAAGCCCCACTGCCGTTACGCTGGCTTATTTATCATTTTTTTTTCTTTCTTGGAAACTGTAGTTTTGTGGGTCTCTCTCGGAACAACTCGTACCAGGAAAGAAACATTAGGACTGGCGTTCGCAACAACACACGCACACGCGAAGCAGGATGCCTCGGGGAGGCGTTCCGAATGACCCAGTAAACCTAAACCACATGCAGCTGCGTTGTAGTGCTTTGTTACGGCTAACTATATCACGGCCATTTCGGGCTCTCGGCGTCATTGACCTCCGGCGATCTCGAAGCCATCGAGCCGGTTATTGCGACTCTTACGAAGCTCAGTCGCTCATCGTCCTTTCTTTTCTCGTATACGTTTTGTTTTACATCGCGTGCGAGTTGAAACAATGGGCGAAACTCAGAGTCACACAACATACGCGCATACACGATTTAAGCTTTTTCATGTAGCTATGTCTCATCGGCCCTTTCGGATGGACCGTTTCTCGTGAGTTGGCGTATACAGGCCACCCGGTGATGATGATGATGTGCGGTTTAACGTCTCAAAACCACCATATGATTATGAGAGACGCCATAGTGGAGGGCTCCAGAAATTTCGACCACCTGACGTTTCAACGTGCACCCAAATCTGAGGGCACGGGCCTACAACATTTCCGCCTCCATCGGAAATGCAGCCACTGAAGCCGGGATTCGATCCCGCGACCTACGGGTTAGCAGCCGAGTACCTTAGCCACTAGACCACCGCGGCGGGTCAGGCCACCTGGTGAGGCGCGGCTAACATTTACATATAGACACGTGGGCGGGGATCATTGTTGGTGATGAAACGTTGCCGTCATCTACTCGGCGCAAATGAGTCCCTTTCTGCAAAACATATATAAATCATCAAAAGATCTTGCCACGGCACTACATAGAAACATCATCAGTGACCTTGGCAAACTTCGCAGTTGCACGAAGACGTCTTGCTAAGGAATGGCATGCGAGAGCAGCCTGTAGTAAATGAATCTGTGTAAAGATCTATCTGCCCTTTAAGTATAGTTAACACGAGCCCTTTACTATACATTATATGTATCATTACCATAAGACTTTTCGCCCACTGATGTCATTTCTTCAAGAATAAAAAAAGCAGAACATGACAGCAGCAGCCCAAGTACGGAATATATGTAACCTGCCGGGGTAGCCAAGCGCGTACGGTGACGCGCTGCTAAGCTCAATGTCGCGGGGTCTATTTCTGGGCACAACTGCCGTATTTCGATGGCGGGTTAAACGCAAGAAACACCCGTTCACTTGGATTTATGTGCGCACTTGATAACCCTAGGTGGTCGATATTAATCTAAACTCACCCACTGCGGCGTGCGCCAACCATATCGTGGTTTAGGCACGTAAGACAACAGCAATGCTATGTGCAGCGATGACAGTTAATAAAACGCTACAGAACTGAAGACCATCCGGAATGCCATTCTGATGCTTCGTTTATTTTTTTTATGTTAAGCAATATGAACCCGGGCAACAATTACGCACATGAAACGAAATGTGTGCGTGTGTTTAAAAGTATAGCGCATTATTAACTCAGAGGGCACCGTGGTCAGGAGGCATCGGATGAACAAAAAAAAAATCCTATGTAATGAATACCTCGCAGTTACTTCATTGCTATTTCTCCCAAAGAAAGATGCGTTTTAGAAAGCCCGTTGCTCTAACCAGAGAGTTCAATCACCTGACCTTGTAGACCGACCGAAAATGCCTTGAACGCACATGTTTTAGGCCCGGCAAAGGTTAACGACACCAGTGCGGTTTTGATTACTGCCGCTTCACATGCTCTCACTGGCAGCGCCTTTCGAAATGCGTCACATGAAGCCATGAAATGAAATACTGGAGCACTGGAGCATGTTGAGCAGCGCAACGACAGTTAGAGAGAAAGAATATGCTATAAAGCGGAACGAATGAAAACACAATTCCCATTTCAGAAATAAAGCATTTGTGCTTCGAACTAATCTAGTTAGGCAGCAGTGTTTTCCTACTCCATACGCCCACGTAGAAAATCAGGGACGAAGTCAGAAAGTGTTTCGAGGATGGGGGGTGTCATGGTTTATCTTTCAGTATGTATGCAATATATCAAAAAATATATATAACTGAAAATTCTCAGAAATCAGGTAATGCGATATTTGCTCCCTGCCTTCACAACTGCTTTTCCGTAACGTCAGGAATCTACAGATGTTTAAAGACATCATTTGGGACAGTGACTATTGAACTTACATTAGTAAACTGTTTAATTGGTGTAGATATGTAAAATGTTGGAGTTGATGTTTTTCGTGCGATGAACGCATCTTAGCTTTCAGCATTAGAAAGAGGGCACGCGGTGTTTACACCCCCCTTGCACGCATGCGCAAAGGGGGGTGTAAACGCCACGGGGAGAGATGAGCAGAGAGAGGGGCTGAGCGTTGACTAGCAGACACTGCCTTGTCGGCGTTGCGAGGCGAGAAAGGAGGTGAGCGTAAGAGAGGAGGGGGAAAGGCGCACGCGCAATGTGGGTGTAAACACCGCGGGGAGGGTTGCTTAGAGGTGAGAAAGGCGGAGAGTGTAAGAGGAGAGAGAGAGAGCGCGGGAGGGATCGCGCATGTGCAGTAAGGGTGGTCACGCCGCACACTGGATTGAGCTCGACCATAAGACTCTTCGCATCTAAAATCAAAAAGCAAGACGCACGAAACTAGCGCACAAGTGTGCGCGGGACAAGTGCGAACAACTATCACTAATTCAACTTCGTCGTGCGTCAGCAGCGCTCTCCACTCGTAAACGCGGCCGCGGCAGCGAGCGAAGTGACGTTCGTCTTTTTCCGAATTACGAGCATGACGAGCGCGCGCGCAGGAGGCACCACGCTCCGTGGAGTCGCGAGGCCGTCGCGCCATCTCGCAAGTGATAAGACACACTAAAGTTTCGAAATTCTTCGAATAACGCGTTCGATGCTCTAACCACTGAGATACCACAGCGGCCAGTTTCGAAATTCTTGAAGACCGCCAAACTGTATATGGTGTGAATAAATGGCTTGCCATTAGCTTCCTCGACAACGCACGCTTCGTGGCATAGTGGTTAGCGATGGATTGAAATACGAGCGAATCCGTAGACAGAGACAGAAAAGACACGGCCAGGCACTTCCTGTCCCTGTCTACGTATCGCGCCCGTATTTCAACCGATCATGAATCACCAACTCGCCCAATCAACCGTTTTGACATAGTGATAAGCGCCGCGCGCTGCGAATCGAGAGGTTGCTGGTTCGACGACGCGCGTCTCGTTTTTAGATGCGAAGCAGCTTATAAGGGTCGAACTCAATCCGGTGTGCGGCGTGACCACTCTTGCCGCGCATGCGAGTCCGCTCCCTCTCTCTGTCCTCGCAACGTCAATGCAGGGAGCGTCGGCTAACCTACGCTCGCTCCTCTAGGCATTCTTTCCCGCGGTGTTTACAGCCCCCTTGCGCATGCGCACCCTCTCCTCCTCGCTCTCCTCACCTACACTCCCCATTTCTTGCCTCGCAACGCCGACACAGGCAGCGTCCGCTTGCGAGTTTCTTGATTGAAAAATAAAAAACGACTGCTTACGCTGCACAACCGTTCACTGCCCCCCCCCCCCCCCCCCAGTGGTCTTGACCTCCAACTAAACTGCCAGTGGGAGATTTCCCCTATACGTTGTTGAACAATAAATATTCGCAGCGTGCGCGTTAACTATAAGCGGACTGCGGGCGTGTCCAGTCGAAGTCTTTTGTCTCTCATTGCCTATTAGCACTGATTGGCATGCTCCAGTAGGAAACACCGGTCCATCACTGCGTGCTTTGCGCCTACCCAGGTTTCTCTCCTGCGCGACGCCGCGATGGGCGTCAGCGCCAACGTCGCCGCCAGTGTAAGCGTTAGCGCCCGTTGCTTCACATTGTTCCCTTTTCTGGGAGATGGTGTAATTGTTTTTCTTAGAAATCTGTTAGTATTTATTTTACAACATCATATCCATGGCGGAGATACGTCAGTGAAACCGTAGTGAACCCCGGCATAAAACACTTTTGTGTTAAAAAACAATGTGGAGTAATGAAATTCAAAGAAATCGACAGGTGAAAACCGAAGCACCGATGAGCGCTTCAAGCGTACGACCAGAATGATTTGGTTGGTATGTGAGGTTTAACGTCCCAGAACCACCACTGATTATAAAAAACACCGTAGTGGAGGGCTACGGAAATTTCGACCAGCTGGGGTTCTTTAACGTGCACCCTAATCTGAGCACACGGGCCTACAGCACTTTCGCCACGACCAGAATGACGTCACTATTCAAGACACTAGTTAGAGAGGTTAAGTTCCTCGGTGTTCGTTAACGTGCGAGCACCATGCGTGCTATAATTGCAAGCGCAACCCGCACAACCGCACAATGATATTGGTCGGTTTATGGTCGATATAACGACGCTCATACACTCTGGACGTCTCAGAAGAATATCAAGATGCAAAAAAAGGGGGGGGGGGATAATTTTCGCGTCATCAAAGTCCGGGTAGTCCAATTTCTTAATAGACTTCCTAGCAGTGAGGTTTATGACCACATATATATAGAAAAGATAACACTTCTTACGAAGTAAAAAAAATAGTGTTCAGTGAACCCTCAGCTAGTGAGCCCATTCATCAATGTTGTCGTCGCGGCCCCGGTTATGTGACTCATATACTCGTGCAACAGTGGCTCTTTATCAATCAATCAAATTCATAACGTGACCAGAGTCTGCTTATAGATTATGATGTGATCGCGGCATTGATTCCTTGGCTTGATCGTTTTATCCGAGTGTATTCCTCTAGTATTAAATGTTGACTGAGTGGCCCAGTTGCCTTCCGCGGGGTAACACGGCACGCCAAAAGATTTCTTAGTATGAAAACGGAGCTCTGCAACAGAATCTCAAGGCTATGTCATGCCCCTGTGCCACGCAGAAAGGAATTTCAACATCACGTGTAATGTAGTAGCTTGCCGATCTTTCAATGTAGGTAATTAAGTTTGTGTGCGCTGTTTCGAAAATCCATGGACAGACCAGCCCGAGTGATCACCTCTGCTAATGAAGGCTATTCCCGCTTTGCGCATCATGCCGAGGGGTTTTAAGTTAAAACTTGCAGAGGTGCACTCTTAATATTGCTTAATTAAGAGTGACATATAAATATTTACGCTTAAAACAACAGAAAATAATGCAAGACTGCATTTTCTTCTGTCTACGTATTCCGACGAATAAGCAAGGCAACATAAAAACTTCTTGGCTTAAAAAAAGAAAAAAAAAGCTCACAGTGTCCTTTATGAAAAACTTCGAATTCAAAGGTCTTTTTTTTTCCACTCAGTTGATGTATTGATACTCTTCCCACCCGCACCCCTCCGACAGCTTTCCGCCCATAGCCCAGTTTTGTAGGCCTATCGGAGACGTAGCAATCTTTCTGCACTTCACTTATAATTACTGCACTGCCTCCGTGATCAGCCCATTTCTGACCAACCAACAATGTCGCGTGATGACGGCATCATGTGACGTCAACATGACGTCCCGTGGCGAGGTCGTCACGTGATGATGCTTTTTTTTGCATCACTCGTGTTGATGCCACCGAAGCTGACGTCGACGGGCAGTTTTAGTGTTTGGTGTGGCATCCAGTGCTTTCGCCTTAAAAGGACACTAAGGTCGAATAACAATTTATGTCAGAGTGAAAGCTCAATGTATGACAACGGCTGAAACGACAATATTGTCAACAGCAGTGCCCTACTTACCGAGAAATTAATATATATGCAGGGGAACACTAACAGGTTTCCAGACCGCTATTTCAGCAATCAGCATCAACTTAATATTTTGCATTTAGTGTACTTTTAATTAATAAGAGCTCCTCGAAACTTCGGAGTTCGAAAAATGTATTAACACGCAGGCCATGGCACTAGTTCTTGTTAAAATGTACATTCTTTGAACGTGCACTCAGCACCATAAACGAAGACGACGAAGCGAAAAAGAGTGAGAGCTCACCTTGCAGCCTTCACAGGAGGTGACACCGTAGTGGTAACCGGACGCCTTATCTCCGCACACCTTGCACGCCACGAACGACTTGGCTGGGCTGCTGCTATTGGAGTCGGCTGCCGCGAAGCTTTGTTCTGCGCAGAATAGAGAGAACGACAATCGATCAATCAATATGTCAATCAATAAATCAATCAGCCAATCAATCAGTCAACCAATCCTATGCAGGTTCACTAAGAGGGAAGAGTTAGTTAGAGAATCATTTCAAATATAACTACGTAGCTAAAGTTGAATGTATACGCGATAACGGCGTTGCTTGTGCACGGGATCATTAGACTGCACTCTTCAGTCATTGAAACACGTTTCAGCATCTTTAAGGAGCAGACATTATACTCCTCACGGGCGTTAATATACTCATGGCATTATCGGGAGTCGACAGCACCGTGGTAGAGCTAACAATAATTATAAGATGAACATAATAGATTAAATTGAAAAAAACGTCAAATGCCTAAAATATACCACATAATAGACACAATGTCAACTACGCTAGACTTTTCTACAAACATGAAATACTGCGAACCGTTTTTCAAGAGCAGAAACATCTGAAAAAAGTGCTGGAAGTACTAAATGGACATCCTTATTATCTGCAACACTGGTTCAATAACTACGGCTTTATCGTTGGAGATGGGGGGAGGGGGGCAGCACCTTAGGGTTGTTTGAGACCACGAGAAAATTTTATGTACGGTGGTCCTAAGGATGAACACGCAGATTAAGCATCCGTGGGCTAGATTAATCTCAATGAATGTTCCCCGAAGGCGTTTCTGCTGGAGGTGCGATTTTGTTTTTGCCTGCCAGCCTTGCTGTTATAGGTGTTCTAAAAAGAAAAAAAAAATATGACAGTGGAATGCCGATGAGCAGTTGTATGTATGGATCTATAAATGAGGGACACGACAAGGCAACGCCAAGTTTAGTCTAACTTTATGCTTTACTTTACCGAAAGACTTAATTTAGGTTCACATTAGAAAAATTCTTTGTTATTGGGGTGAAAACGATAAAGCAAAGCTTCGGTTCTTTAATTGCAGTATAGGCGCGTATGTCGGCATGGTGTCATAATCTTCCCCACTTGTGAGGAACCGCTTTATTCAGCCAGGCTTGTGCTAAATCGCAACGATGATGATCTGTACAGATGATGAAGATGTACAAGTTATGATCAGATGTAAAGAGAATGAAGAGTCATTCACTTGTCACGTTCACAATATGTTTTTACGTGCACAGGCCGCTGTTGACCAGAAAAAAAAGAAAGAAAACGTTTAAAAACCAAGTAGTTCGAAGTGAGTCCCTATGGAAAAAGGTCACATTCGATACTTACATGTTTATTATAGCGAAGGTCTGACAGGACAGTTTACGGGAATAAATGGATGACCCTATTTCAAGCCTGTCTTATTAAGTGACGTCCTTCCTACAGTTAATAGAATAAAATCGTTTGAAAAATTTGCGACGCTTTACAGCGCTTGATGACGTGCTTGAAGAGTATATAAAACTCCATACCTGCTGTTTACGTGTGATAGGCCCCTGCCACCACGTTAATTCCTGCAGCCCTCAAGGCTCGTTTGTTCCGTTTGTTTTCATCTCCAAAACTTTCTGCTCTGACAACAGCTGCGGTGATATTACTAGTTAGCGAGTACAAACTAATTCAAATAAATTACGAAGCTTCCTGTGAGTGTACGTGCGTGCGCACGTGTGTTTCTGAAAGATATAGATGGATGAAAAGAGAGGAAATTTTATCTGAAACGCAGTGTCCGGTAAATCGTAACTATGAACGCTCGCTGTCAATTTCGCACGAGCAAGACGGTCAACTGCATGTGATTCAGCTTGGAATGGCAGACCCACCTTGTATACACGACAGACCAGATGTGCATACTTCTGCGCACAGCGCGGCCCAGCCTGTTTTATTTATGGGCAAACGTTCGAAACTGGCGTGTATTATACAGAGCCGCACACGTCCGGCCGACAGCGACACCATGTTCCGGCAGCTAGATCTCTTTCTTCAAGACTTTAGTATGAAATATCGCGCCCCAGGCAAAGTCCGTTTCGCGGCGCGGACTCGAAGCGCTCACACTTGCAGCCCGGCGCCATCGGAGAAACATAACGCTGTCGGCAAACACCGGGTGTAGACCCGGCGTGATTTGCGCGTCCGCAAATCGAGTCGTAAATATGCGATCCGTTACTGGCGCAGCTGTGGCGCTATCCCGTCAGCCGGGGCGGCAGCACAGGGCAAGAGGGGGGGAGGCCTCTCCCCTTGTCCCGTCGAAGACGCTTAGATTAGGTGCTCGTCGTAAATTCCAACACTCTTGTTTGGGCCTGTGTGTCTGCGAAGAGGAGGCGGATGCCACTCCCGTCTCGCCTGGTTCCTCAGTGTAGAGCGGCCGTCTTTGATTCGGCGGCCATCCTAGACGATCGCACAATGGAAGGCCCACGGGGAGGTCTATCTCGAAAGAAGGAGAGTGCTGCCCAGGGCTCGTCGCCGCGTCAAAATGGGACCCGATAGAGAGGTGACAGCCCACCGGCGGACCGTTTCGGCCGCGCCCGTAGTTTATGGAACGATCTCTTTCCCCACCCTCGAGGCACAGACTCACCCCGCTGTCCGAAAGACGTGCTCGGTCCGTGAATCGCGGGCTTACGACAGGAAATAAACGTTCGGAGCCGTCTCTCGAAGGAAGCGTCGGCTGGCTGCGTGCGTGGTTTCCGAGGCCCTCTGTGTTCGGAGGGGCTACTCGTTTATGGACGTGTGAACCAGCTGAAGATGGCCCGCTGTGGCAGGTCGTCAAAAAATAGTGACCGTTCTCTCGAGAGTGCTCGTGTAGTGAAGCGACCGGTGCCCGGCTCACTGGTTGTAACCGCCTGGAAGTCAGCGCCGCGTAGTACTGTTTTGTTACACGCTTTATTTTTTATTCTCGCGGTGAGCATACTTGCAAAAGCGAATGGTCCAGTTTACGACTGCAGGACGTCCGGTACGTCTTACGCGTACTTCACGTGCAAGTGCTTCTGGCATTGAAAGGAGAAAAAAAACTGCGAGGAAAAACGTGGACAGCGGAGGATCTGGCGTTAGACGGGAAAGTGCGTTTACTTTCGAACACGTGAAATGATCAGCGCAAGTACCGTCATCGTTACCGCTCGTACACCACGGTTTATGTTCGGCCCAAAGAAAAAAGAAACGCGCCTACACAAACGAAAATCTGCATATACGTTTTATAAGACACGCAAGGACGCGGACATGCCGTAGAAAGCAGTGGTAATTGCGGACTCCGTGCTCAAAGGAACTCAACATTTCCTCTCCGTCTTCGGAGAGTGGCAGAGGAGTTACAGGAAGCAAGACTTGCGATCCCATTCACCACTTCCGGCCTTTCGCTTTCCACCTAGGCCCGACAAGATTTCACAAGGTCCCTTACGCACGCGAAAATATACGCGAGTCTAGGCAGAGATGTTTCCAAACATGCGGACCATGCCGAGTTAGTTCAAGGACGGCGAGCAGAGAAGCCACGATGTGACGCAGATGCCGCTCGTATGCTCTGCTCCATTTTATCGTGAGAACGGGCGCATAAACGATGTTTAGCGCTGTTGGCTGCGTGGTCCAGCCGCCTCTCGTTTCTAGCATAGAAGCCCAAGGTCTGAGCCTAATCCTTAATTGCGTATAGCCGTGGCCCGAGCTCTTCAAGCACGTCAAGTCAGTGGAGGAGTGACCTTGCTGATATTTATTGTCCAGACCAGAGGAGCTGTCCACGTCTTCCTGATGTCAGTGAACTCTGGCTGCAGTGCATATATTGGGCACCTGCGAACCTTTCTTCGATGTGCTCGAACTTCACGTGCTCCGTGCCTCTCCTCGCACGATGGCGATAAAGTGATTGTTTCCTAATTTGGTTTACGAAGGCAACTATAACGTGCACGATTAGGTAGGTATAAACAACTTATACTTCGACTAACAGCGGCAATAACACGAAAACAATTTCTTCGCATCATAGCGGTGCCACGAAAAAACGGCTAAAGGTATTGTTTTGCAACATTTTGTGCTTATTCATTATGGATCCGCAGTTCCGAGTTCACATAACAAGTTAAGGTATATTAATACGCAAAATATTAGTACGCACGTGACCGCAGTGTTCCTTGCATAACTTTTTGTTTTAAATACAATTACACCATCTGTGAGAACTATCATACTCGACGTAGATGACATCGAGAGAAAAAAAAAAAAAGATCTGGACATGTCCAGTTATAAGATGGAGGCGTAACCAATGGGTGGCCCAGTTAGAGCGGTGGAATGGATACCAAGGTATACAGAGTGTTATTTATGTTGAGTGGAGCGAAGGTAAAAGAAAAGAAATCAAGCGTAAAATGGGATGAGGCCGTGCAGTGTCGGTGGTTATCACTGGTAAAGGTCTTAGTCATGCAGTAGACATTAAGTAGGCTGTGGTTTACGATGGTGCTGGTGAAGAAGATGATGATGATGACACCCGTTTCAAAGTGTAGATAGATCTGTCTCGTTCTGCTCGCCAATAACTCAAAGAAATACAATAAAAATAACGTTGTAGGCGGGCCGAGTCTATCAGTTTGGACCTGTAATTGCGCCCTCTGAACGCGTCTTTCCGCATCTATATTATACAATGTATTCTTTAGTTTTTATGATTATAGAAGTCAGCAATCAAAATGGTAATGCGGGCTGATTGGTTTCTAGAACTGGCAATCATTTTCGCAGTGCAAAATACGAACACACATGCGCAAGAGAAGACACGGATAAATATAGCGCTAATCTTGTCTTCGTGTCTTTTGTGTGAGCCCTTAAATTTCGTGCTTCAAAAGATTGATGTCCGCCATCCCACTCAGACACAATTGCAGGCGCACTAACATATCTTAATACTGGTTAGTGAGTATTTTCTACGGCAAACTCAAGATCAAGATATTCGGCGTTGTCGCTTAAAGCATACGCGAAATGAGCGAATGAGAAACGCTGCACATAAATAGCAAACGAAGCAGCTCTCCCGCCCGCGTTCCACCTGCGGGGCGTTGCGATCGGCCCCGCATTCCTGAGGCGTTGCTCACGCTACCACGGTGACCGGCATCTCTCTTCGTGTTAGCGTGTTGT